ACACGGGCGGCAGGTCTCGGACGTGGCTCATCTTACAGGCCTGGCTCTGAGGGTACTGCACTTTGAACTTGTCATGCAGTGACTCGATGTCGTCTTTCACGCGCTGGATGAGCTGCGTCTGGTACTCCCGGATGGCACCGCGGATGTGGGGACGCACAAAGAGAGCGTTGAAGCGGGAGAAGATGCGGAACATCTCGTTGGCGTTCTTGGCGGTACCCAGCTGATCACGCAGGCGGGCGGTGATTCGGGTCTCAACGCGGTCGATGCGCTCATCGTAGCGCTTCATGGCGGCTTCCCAGGCTTCCATGCCTTCCTTAGACACATCCAGACCATCGACCTCTTTGACATTCTCATAAGCCAGGTTGACTTCCTCGATAGCGTTGGCATCGGCAGCATCGAAGAGAACTCCGGCTACCTTCAGGTCTTGAGGCTCCACTGTCTCTCCAGGGGCATGTTGTGGCACGGCAGAAACCTGGGGGGTAAAAGAGTTCTTAATAAACTGTGGGACAACAACAGCTATTGTGGGGGGGGAGGGGGGGGTTAGTCAAAGGGTGGCCATTCCATGTTTGGATTTTGTTTTACCTGAGGCCTCAGCACACGGACAATGACGGCCCTCAACTGCTCATGCTGCCTTCGGAAGCGTCTCATGTGATCCAGCCGTGATTGGAGCTTCCTGTGAGCTGGGCTCAGACGCCACACCATCTTCAGGTTCTCCTCTCGCTTTCTCTTCACGATGTCTCTGAGAAGAACCTGCAGCTTCTCATACTCATCCTCCCAGGTCTGGAACACCTCGAAGCATGCAACCATCACCTGTAGGCAGAAGTTGAAAATACTTTTAGAAAGAAAGAAAGACAGTTTTAAGTAGCTAAAGTAAGACTGTTTTTTTTTGAGGGAGGGTAGAGAACAGGTTTTAGTTTATGCTGGAGACCCAGACACACCAACCTTTTCAAATTCCTCATAGGCGACATGCATGAGCTTTCTGGTGCCCAACACTTTGAGGAGCTGGGAGCTCAAGTCCCTGGAGATGGCCTCCACTAGACGTAGGGCTCTCTGGATAGGGTACTTGGTGTTCCTTATCTTTTTCAAGTGAGTGAAAATGGCCATGAGGGCCTGGCGGATCTTATCGAGCTCTGACGCAGAGAGCAGGTCATTGAGAGGGAAGTCCTTCATCAGAGGGTTGTAGTCATTGACCGTTTCCACAGCCTGCTTCAGACCTGTGAGAAGCAGAGAAAGGACAAGCAATGAATCACATTGTAATGAATTACTGCCAGTAATGAAAAATGCTTTGGACTGGTTGTCACTGACCGGTGTCAGTGTCAAAACTGACAGTAGCATGGAAACGTTTTCCGTGTTTGAGGATATCCAGAGTCAGCAGAACTTCTGGGCTCTCTCTCTTCTCCTGGATCCTGTTGAGAGCTCTCTCCAGATTGAGCCAGAAACTGATCTCTTGCAAGGCTGTGCCGGAAGCTGGGTCACGGTCGAGCTTTGTCACCTGATTACAGGGTGGGTGGAGGAGAACAATAAACCCAGTTGCAAGTTTAATGGGAAATGCTTTTTTCATATACCTGTTATGACATGACATTTGAGATAGAAACACAGGAAGCCTCTTACCTTCTGGATCTCCCTGATCCACCGATTGACTCCAGATTGCAGCTGGTTCAGGAAGGTTGGGTCCTCCACTTTGTCGCCAAAGTCGGTGACTTTGGGCTTCTCCCCGCGCTCATAGAACTGCTTGGCAATGTTTGTGATGATGGGGTGGATGAGCAGGCTGATCTCAGGAATCTCAATGTTCTGCTGCAAGTGAAGAAGGCCCATCTCCAGCTCAGCAATCTTTTTCTCCACGGAGGGAGCCATCTTATCACCATCTCTGGAGAGGTAGGACAGAGGTGATAGTGCAGATTAATTTTCCATCAATGTAACATTATTCCTCCATGCTAAGTTCATGATTCAGGTCACTAGATGCTGGTCTCTTTTTTTAAAATCAAATTACAAGACACATTTTGAAGATTACCTGTCTGCCTTGCCCGACTCACGGATGTAGGACTTGAAGAAAGGAGCAACGGCATTGCTGATGAAAGAGTGGAGCGTCTCATAGGGAGAATCTTCACTCAAAGTCAGCACTCGAACTTGGGTTGAAATGGGCTTGTCTGCATCAATGACAATTGCCCTCTTGATGAATGCCAAGCTGCAGGGGGGGGGGGCATCAGTTAGAAATCACTCAAGTGGACGCTGAATGCTTTGCAGCACTTTCCTAAAGTACATTTTATGACAAGTTCAATAAAAATAAAATCTTTATTTAGTCAAATGGACATATGGAAGTAGGGCCTCATACTGCAAGGCCCTACTTCAGTGCATAAGATGCCTTGCCTACCTGTTGGACTTCATCCCATAGTGTATGTCAGTGCTGATGTTATAAGTGATGCATTCCTTCTCCTCTTCTCCCTCGTCACCAACATCCTCTGAGGGAAGAACAAATAAAAGTCTTATCTGAAGAGAAGTAAGAAACCCTTTGAAATATTGCTTGCACTGATCGTCGTGACCAAATCATCAATATAAAAAAAATATATTGAAAAAAAGTTATTTGCAACAGTCAATCAAATGGTTTACGGGCAGGGGGGGGGTGATGTAATGGTATGGGAAACACTGCAGCAAGCAGTAAGAATTGATGGCTACAATAGGATGACGGTGCAATCTGATATCCTCACACCCATCTAGCCATGTTCTCGCCCTTCAAGTGATGTCATAGCCTGTGGGAAAAAATACTTCACCCTCTGCCATGCAGCATTGGTATTCTTAGTGCAAGAAAAAGGATTGACAAGAAAACCCTAACTCAGACTCAATAGCTGGGCATGTGCAGTAGCAAGAGATCACAGTTTAGCACTCAACATTAGGGGGCAGGCGGCTCTGCTGCTCAGGATTAATTTGCCTGGAGGAAACTCAAGATGCTGTGTTCATCTACACAAGCTGGTTCACATGATGAAACCCGAGATGACTTGCAGTTGTTAAAGGGTTTCGTTATCTCCGAATTCGAAATGGTTTCGGTGCTTGTTCTTTCTAAGCAGGGCTTATGTTGTCATTATTGGAACGGAGTCAGTCATAGGACAACAATTATAATGTGGGCTTGTACATAACCTACATTTCAATATCAAAAGGCAACGCTAACGTGCGGCCATGCTACACCAGGATGTAACAAAATACACGCATTAACAATAAGCCAACACCTTATCACACCTTACAAATCATTAACACGACGTTAGCTTAACGGCTAACCCAGCTGTAATGACAGTTGACATTATCAACTAGCGTTAGTCCTTTTATTCAGATCGGCGAGACGCCGGGTTAGTGTAACGTCGTCGTTACCTTTGAGTGTGCTTCTCTCGACTAGGATGGTGTGAACTTGCGGATCGGCCAGAAACTTCTTCATCTGCTCCACGGCGCTCTTCTCCTCCAGGGCGGTTTCCAAAGCGGCCGGGGCCTCGCCGCCATCTTCCAGAAGCAGCGGTACCAATTTTCTCATATGCTTCTGCAGCACCGAGGTATCGGCGACCGTCTGAACGGCCGACACTTCCATGGTGCCGGAGTTCTCCTCCGTCCCTCCACCGTCGGACATGGTTTGAAGCGGTCAACGACGGCCGGTGGCGGCGTGAAAGTGAACAAAAGAACCGATGCTGACGTTGAGTAGCTGGCTGCGACAACAGAGCTGGTCAAACGCTGACTGCTGCTGTCAGAAAGCCGCACCCGGGAAGTTTATCTGCGCAATGGATTGTGGTATTTGTGGTCCACGGGTTTGATATTTCACTGGAATATAGAAGCTACAAACTACAATACCCACAATGCAGTCGAACGAATCAATTCCTTTATTTTTCCTTTGACGTTGTGTGTATGCCATTGCAGCGTACGCATACACTGATTTTGACTGGTCTCACTTTGCTCTCCACATACATCCATAGGTTTACAAAAAACAGAAAAATTAAAACTAATAATACAAGGACAACAACAAAAAGTAGAATAGTTAAGCATAAAGTAGAAACATGTTGACACGACTGTACATTATAAATATATATCCCTACGTTATGTTTATATATGAACATAATGATGATGGTGTAGAATATAGTGCAAATGGAGGTGCAGTATGTCTAATTAATTATTCAGCGAAAAGAAGAAGCTGTTCCTGTGTCTGGTGGTCTTAGCGTACAGTGCTCCGTAGCGCCCAGAGGGGAGGAGATATAACAGACAGCTATCTGCCATTCTTGTCCAACTCTAGGGTCGAGGGCAGGCTGAAGGTAATTGTTCTTTCTGCAGACCTATGATTCGTTGTAGTTTGTTCCTGTCCTGTTTAGTGGCCAATCCAAACCACCACCAGCTCCTGAAGAAGGTTTTACTTCTTCAGATCACACCAGAGGACCAGCTATTCAACCCGTCCTGAACTGATTTTTCCCAGCCTCAGGAGGTTCGTGATGCACTGCAGTGAGACAGAAGAGTTTGTGTTCTAGTATGGCATGATCATGTGGGACTGAAGTCCACAAACAGAACCAATGAACATACCCCTGGGGAGTCGGGGCGTTGCAGTTTGTCTGTAAATCTCTTTTATGGTTTAATGTAAAATACTGCCACAACTTTTTAAAGATGGACTCAAAGGCCTCATTGATACAGCAGACATCCGCACAGAGTATTTCCTATATGTGCTCTTGATGAGTGTACAATTAATTGGCGTAATTGGCCCTTTGTCATAATGGGTGTGTTTATGTTGCAGATGGGATTAGAAGGACTTATTTTCCTTCTAGTGTTTATGATTATTATTTTTATCGGTCCGTGTACATTTAGATTGTCTGAAGAAAAAAACATGGCATTTCCGTTTTGTTCGATTAAACTGTAAAACAGACTATAACACGCGCCTTATCAGCTGACCTTTTTATAGGGGCCTCAGAGCGACTGCTGGCCAAAGGGCTGACGCTCCCACCTGATTGGCTCAACAGCGGCTGTCTGTTCTGCAGAGGCGTGGCTGGACGTGAGTGGGCGTGGCAGGCTTTGTCACGCAGCTTCTTCCTCGAATTCTTTACCGTTACTACGTGAAGCTGACTTGGGGGAAATTGAACGTCGCCCAGAAGGGACAAACAGGAGAAGGGAGCAGAAACAGCAACTACACGCCAAACGCTGGTACTGCTTTACACGTTGATGAATGTTTCTCAGAACTGTTCAGCTGTATGCGCTGATATGTGCTGGTTAGTTAAATGCGAATGACTTCCATGCCGCTCTCTCGGCCTCGGAGCGGTTGGTTAGCTAGCGACGGCTAACGCTAGCCTCCGTGGCCTGTTAGCAGGCCGGTGGGGTTTGAGCGCCGTGGCATAGACGTATCCATCCGACGTTCTTCAAAATAGGGCCCCGGTGCTTTGCGTTAGCCAACTGGCGAGACACTGACACGGGATTTATTTATTGTGTGACATAATCGTTGTGTCTATCCATGTGCAATGTAATGCCGACTCGTAATATGAATCCCTGTTATTGTAGAAGCTAGTGGGACACGGACACCTTACCCTTTGTCGTTAGAGGTGGGAGTGAGCATGTAGCGGACTACCGTTAGTTTACGTATGCTAGTAACGCTAAACAGGCCTCGGCACCTTTTTTTTCTTTTACGATTTCGAGATAACTCGCGAAATTGCCCTTCTTCTCTTGTCCCGGTAGCCAAAGACAAACATTGTCCCAAATGTTTTCAAAGCTCGGTTCGTGGAGGCAGAGCACCGGTCTGTTGGCTGTCAATAACGGGACAACCTGATCCGTTAACCCGAACTAACGGTTAACAGGTTAACGTGACAGGACCACCTACTACAGCACCAACATCCGCCCCTTTGCGACCGAAGTTGCTCTTCTAGAGAAATCAGGCCGAGATGTGAGACCCTTGAAGACCCTTTTCACAGTACATTGTGGCAATTTACTTAAATTCTGACCTGACCCTTGTGCCACAGCACCAGTCTGACACGCCTCTTTCCAATGGATATTTATCAATACAGCATTTTTTTTAATTATTTCTAATCCGTGGGCACAGCAGACTGACACAAATGCACATGTCATGCAACATTGTATTGGATAATTGACACATCTGGTGATGTACATTGTAAATAAGTGTATTTACAGTGATGCTACTGACCACTGCTGGAGCATTGTCAAAAACGTTCCAGGTTAAAGCCCGCTCCAGAATTTCTGCACTGTGTATTTCTGTACTTGACATAAACCGCTATTTGGGACACAGGGCGGCCTGAGAGGATATTGTATACTGAACCAAATGGTTTAATACCAATACCAAGTTTTTTACACCCGTATACAGGAAACGTATGTACTCATGCAATGATAAGCAGAGCTAGACAAGTAATCCGAGTCATTCATTTGCATCTAACACAACATTAAAGACAGGACTCACTGGAAGAGCCCCTTTACACTAGAAAAGGATTTCTTACCGACTTCTATATTGACTTCTATATGGCCCCTCGGAACCTTTACTTAATGTTTGGCAATGTTGTGTTCAGCTGCATCAAGTGTATGTCCTCTTAGTGTGACGATCTTCAGATGTTAGTTCCCTACCACCTACCATACTGAGTTGATCTGATTTGGTCTTCAGCCTCAGGAGCAGTGAAGTGTCTTCATGGCAGTTCGTCGAGGACACATTAAATATTTGAAAGTGAGTATCACATCTTTCCCATTTCAAACAGCACTGCAGTATATGTCCTCATCAAATGAATGCTTGCAGTATGATCAGATATTTTAGATGTTGTGGAACTTAATATGCAATTGTAGCATAGTAAGATATTTGGTTGCAGTACATGTCTAATCTCCAAAGATTTCCCATTGCCCTGTTAAACATTCTCTGTGGATGTGGTGACTGCACATAGGGATCTCTTTTTATTTATCCTGGAACTAAGGATTTATTATTTGAGTAAGCATAAGAGAACTCCAAAGCACTCCCACGTGCCAGCTCTCCCCAGCTATGCCCATGTTTACCAGTTAAATACAGGACTCTCATTCATCCTCTCAGGCAGAGTGCCTTACCCACCAGAATACACAATCACAACCGTTCTCTTGCATGAATGGCCCTCTGTCAGGTCGCCTTCTACACGGTTTCCCTTTTAGACCTGATCCCATTACAGACAGCAAATATGTCCGTCATGTCATGCTCTTCTGAACAGATAGCTGTAACGTGTGTATTTTTTAACTAAGGTTTCATTCTTGTTACAGTCACTTGACATTATCCTAACTAAACTAATTTTAACTAAACTTATTTTTGGGGTAAAACAAGTTACTTTGCAAATTCTTCTATTGCAAGCAATTTCATTGATTCAATTTCATGCTGGTAGAGTAGGGACTTTTTTGTTGCTACTACATTAATTTGCAGTCTGATTCCAGGCACGTGGTTGTATAATTTCTTTTTAATGTTTCAAAACGACAGCCACAATTGGTCAACCAGACAATTTTCCATCCATCAATTATTCTGCAAATTGTTTTTTCGCTCTAGTTCTACCAACCCTGTGTACTTATCCTGCTTTGCGTTGTCCGGCCGCCTGGCCGACCTACAGGAGGTGTACAACATGTCGAACGGTTATGAAGACCTCATGGGAGAGGACGAGGGCAAGGACTCCAAGACCAACCTGATTGTGAACTACCTGCCTCAGAGCATGACGCAGGACGAGCTGCGGAGCCTCTTCAGCAGCATCGGAGAGGTGGAGTCTGCAAAGCTGATTCGAGACAAAGTTGCAGGTATGCGACTCTCTGAGGCAATAACACCTGTGACAGACCAGATGGACCCTGAAACACAATCATTTGTTTTAAATGGCAAATAAACAACCCTCTGAATACATCAATGGTGGGTCAGCTTAATGACTTAAAAATAGTTTGGCCATTCACTCATTTCTTTTAATGATTTACATTTGAAGGATACCAACTGGAAGCCTGTTTTCTGGCTTTTTTCGCCATTAGTGATTTTTAAGTTATTTTTATTTGAAATTCCTTTGAGTTGAATAGTAGTTTGCTCAGTCTTTCCACCACCCTATACTTGTTTCATTTATTCGAGTGGGCAGTCCATTTGTTTGTTTGTGTAGACTAGCATGCAATGTTAAAATTTTGTTTTTAAAAACCTATTTGTTTGAAGTTTTTTTGAACTATACAACGTTTTTTTGTTTTATTTTATTGTTTTCCTTTTTTTTTCTCTAGGCCACAGTTTAGGGTACGGATTTGTTAACTATCTTAACCCTAGTGATGCAGAAAGAGCTATCAGTACACTGAATGGACTAAGGCTACAGTCCAAAACTATCAAGGTAACGTGCAACAAGGTGTTCTACAATTCTCAAACCAAAGGTGGTATGTCATATAACTCTCGTGTGGCTCTTGTGCTGTCCGTTAACTAGTTAGTACATGTCAGCCCGAGGAAGAATACTGCTTTTACAGCTCAATTAATGCCCTATCGGACATATAGGGGTCTGACTATAATTTTATTTATTTTATTTGACAAATTACGTTAAATCGATGTTTTGTGCGTTCAATTCCAAACTAGAACATTTTACATTTTGGTTGGTATAATTATCAGACATTTGATGCAGTTTTTCTTTTTAAATTCAAAAGTTTTCCATATAAAACACATTGGCCATGTAAATACATTTTTAAAAATGGCTAAAATATCAACAGTATTTTTTTTGGTGTGTCCTTGTTTTGTAATTGTGACTCAGTAGAGTTTTAAATGGGCAAATGTCGCTTCCTGTTGCTAGGTTTCATTCGCACGGCCCAGCTCTGACACAATAAAGGATGCCAACCTGTATATCAGCGGACTGCCAAAGTCTATGACCCAGAAGGATGTAGAGGACATGTTCTCACGTTTCGGACACATCATTAACTCCCGCGTACTTGTTGACCAGGCCACGGGTACATCAGGTAAATCCTCTTCAGTAACCCATAACTTTAAAAAAAATTTAAAAGGGGAGTAATTTTGCTGCTTGTATCAGAATAGACATTCACCCGCTGTTGTCTCGTATCCAGGTGCGTCCCGTGGGGTGGCTTTTATAAGGTTTGACAAGCGGGCCGAGGCAGAGGAGGCCGTCAAAAACCTTAATGGTCAAAAGCCACCCGGAGCCTCTGAGCCAATCACAGTGAAGTTTGCTGCCAACCCAAACCAGGCGAAGAACACGCAGATCATCTCTCAGCTCTACCACAACCAGTCCAGACGCTTCGGAGGACCCGTACACCACCAGACTCAGCGGTTTAGGTAAGAGCAGTTGTGAACTTTTAAGTTTGCTTAAGTTAATTTTCTTTTCTTTTTAATTTTAGCCTTGAATTAATTACAAAATTAATTAATTAATGTGAAATTAATTACAAGGAATGCAACATCAGAGGTAAAAAAAAATTATGGAAACAGGTCGATAAAACAGTTTAAAGTATCAAAAGGATGAAATATAGAGACTGTAATATGAAATATACAGATATAAAGACTGCTTATTAAATCATCCATATAACTTGTTTCTGGCTGTATTACAAACCACACTGCTTGGGTTGTCACTGGAAGAGCTTTACTGCGTACTACAAAAGTAAACAGAATATCATTGCATTATGGGCTGTTTTGGCAACATCAGACATTTGAAAAAGTTCACTGGGCTTTGTGATGTTGGACATTTTACAAACCAAACAATCAAGAAAATAACATATTAACCTGTGAAATATGCATTTATCAATTGACAGATTATTTATTAAACTGTTGTGGTGATTAATCCACAAGCAAACAATCTCATTCCCAGGTTCTCCCCCATGAGCGTCGATCACATGGGTGGTGTAGGAAGTGTCAGCGTTCCTGGGAACTCCACCTCCGGCTGGTGCATCTTCATCTACAACCTGGGCCAGGACGCAGACGAGAGCATCCTTTGGCAGATGTTCGGGCCCTTCGGCGCCGTCACCAACGTCAAGGTGATCCGCGACTTCAACACCAACAAGTGCAAGGGCTTTGGCTTCGTTACCATGACTAATTACGAGGAGGCTGCCATGGCCATAGCCAGTCTGAACGGCTACCGGCTCGGAGACAAGATGCTGCAAGTGTCCTTCAAGACGAGCAAGGGCCACAAGTAGAGGGAGGCGGACAATCGGTGTACAGGAGGGTTAGGTGAAAAGACCTATGCGCCAGATGTTTAAAGCAGTGAACAGAACGGGGTTTATAATCTAGAAAAATTCAGTATTGAGTTTTAGTGTGTTCATGTTCACTCTTCTGCACCTTTTGTACTTGTCAAAAAGAGTGTTTTAGGCTGATTGTTGTCGTTTTTCTTCATCTTTACACTCCTCGAGGACACTATATGTAGTTTTAATTTTTTTGTGAAGGATTTAGAGGGTAATATCCCAAGGTACCCCCAAGATAACTTTCAAAAATGATCTAAAAATCTACTGTCTATATGTGTTGCATGTATAACAGAGGAGACTCGATAAATGAGGCACGCAAATGTTTCTGGGCAGTGCACTCGGGGGAAAATATAGGTGACAAGGAAAGCCTCGCAAATTGTTTTTGTGGATGATTTAGGCTTAAAGAAGGTGAGGACCAATTCTTTGGTTGTTTTTGTTTTGGAAAAAGAAGTGGTCTGTCCTGGATCCTCATTGTAGAGTAAAAATGGATGAATTCAATTATCACCCAATGGCATTACAGGCCTAAATGACCATTCACCTTCTGGAGTCCATCTAAGGGTAAAGCACTTCTTACTAGTCTGCTTTTGGTTACTATGGAAACCAGGCGTTTTTTATGTTGCTCTATGACTTTTGCTCATACCAGGTTAACAATATCAAGCATAACAAGCTTTTGCGATGTTTGTCTCATCCCGGTGTAAAGGTTTTTTTTTCATTATAAGTTGTATTTCAGGAGGGTCCCTTTTTGAATATGAACCCCAGTCAATGAGTAGGGAGTTGAGATGGACCAAAGGCAGGAAGAGATTTTGATCTTATTACCCAAGATAACTTTTCTGAGTAGATTTAAGGTAAAGTAATACCTATTTTTAAGCGGTACTAAGCTTATTTTATGTATATATGAAAACTGACTGAGCGCAATGTCACTTAACCTCAGCATGTATTTGGTTTATTTCTAATTTTATTTTCAGTTAATTTGTTTTTTTGTTTGAAGTATTATTATTATTTTTTTATTTTTTTCTCGGTGTTTGTTACAAACTTGTTTTAACGAGCGCTTATGTCAAGTTTGGAGACTAATTCATGGCCTTTTGTTAAGTTTGGATTTTCTTTCTTTTCTTCATTTCTTTTGGTTGTTTCAATTTGAGCATAAACCATTAAATTTTATTTCTTTTCGCCAAAAGTTTTGTTTGGTTTATTTTTATTTGCCTTTTTCTTATTTGGTTTGGATGTTCTATTCTTTTACTTGACGCAAATCTGCAGTGTTGATAGATCTGTGGTTAGTAAAAAGGGCGTTTCCAGAAAAGTGTTTGAAGAGAAGCTTTTAATTGTCAGTTATTTTGAAAGAAAATATACGGACCAATGATGGTTGGAGATTATTCAACCTGTACACACACTTGAAGACATTTCAAGTTTTCCAAGTTTGCCAGATACATTTGAACCACTGAAGAGTTGCATGATTAGCAAGTTGAAGCTGAATGTGGGCGGCTTTTCAGCAGCTGTGAGTTGACACCTGGCTCAGTCAATCTGTTTTGATACCCACCTATTTGGGAGTAATTCACCCAAATCCATTAATCTGATTATTGTCCAACAGTGATACCTTTTAACTTGGGAGGGTTTGTTTGCTGCCTCAATGAAACATTTCTTATATGAACCCTTTAAAAAAGATAATTGGACGTATCACAGCCCATCTTTTAAATGCGGTTCATTTGGTAAGTTGTCTTGTTCTCCAAGAGGATCGACAAGTGGACCATTTACCATCAACGGTCATAGTTCTTGAATTAACCTGACTATAAATTGGACAGTTACAAATATATCAAATCATTTTTGCTAACTAACGTTTCACATTTTTGGATATTTGCTTTAAAAAGAAAATCCCTAGCAATAATTCCCCTGATGCTTTGTTAAATGCCAAAAGGAGTATTCCCATTTCAACATTCATTTTGGTCTTAAAAGTGCTTTTTGAATGAACAATTCAATCTTATTTTTGTGCAATATTTCAAGGCTTGCTTGCAGCAAGTAATGGAACGTTTTTGTAGTTGTGGACTGTCATCTTTTTTTCTTTTTTTTTTATAATTTCTATTTTCTACTGACATTTTGTTTACTGCTCAGTTTTTTCAGCAGTATAGTTGGAATTGCATGAAAGGTTGCAAGTGAATTTGTTTTAGGAGTCGTCAGATTGAACTGCATTCTGCCTTAATTTATAAGTGGGAATGGTGTATTTTACATCAGAGGAGGCGTAAATATTTATTTGACAATGTATGCGGTTATGCTTGTTAATTATTGCAGTGTTTTTAAAGGTTAATTTTGTTTTCTTGGTTATGAATGACACTAAGTTGAAGTCCATTTAAATGTCCTCTAACATTGGATCATCAAAACATGTTTTCAGAACTGAAATTATTAAATTTCACTTAAGAGTTGTGTGAATTTGCCGTTTTATCGCCAAATATGACATAGGAGAATAAGAAACTTACATAAGAAATTGTATTCAATTGCGTTTATTTCAATGGTTTGCTTGTCGTCTTTCAGCCCCTATATTTCCTACTTTACTTCTCAGCAAGCTAACGCACATTAAGTGAGAGAAACCATTTGAGATCACATGACAAAACCATTACATTTTCCACAGTACTTTAGTGGCTCCTTGCATTTACATTCCACCAGTTGTATGAAGGATAAAGTTATCCCAAATGAATGTATGAGCTGGCCTCTAAAAACTATTTCTAATGATTGGGAAAGAACATTTTAAAGATGTCATGGCTCGTCCCTGCAGAACAATGAAGACCATTGTTTGAGTTCTGCTCAAACAGGCTGCTTTCCTCTACTGGCAAATGAGTAGCCTTTCCAGAATGTCTCTGCATTCCTTCTGGTAAAAGCAGACATTTCTTTTTGAATAAATATCCCACTCCTCTTTCCCACAGCTGACACAGTACAGTTCAAGCCCCCTTTCTTTTGCACAATTAAGAAAAGAACACATTGACGGGTCTTCGAGTGCAGTAAGTTTTTATTAGAAAATAAATTCAAAACATATGTATAAAAATTTTAAATATAGTATGTTTGCTTAATAAATATCCGTAAATACGAAGTCATAACATAAAGGTTCACTTCAACAAAATACATTTGCTCCTTTTACGAGTTTTTGTTTACTTTCAAGTCTTTCAGGTTCTCCGAATTATTGTCAAAAACCAAGATCACGTTAAGGCAACTCAAAACCCTGATCAAACTTCGTTAGGAGCTGTTGATTTAAGCTAGGAGTTAGCTCAACAGGTATAAGACTGTCTTTAGCGTCACCGCTGACTGATAAACACTAAAATCCATCTAAGTCGTTGCTTCAGGTGCATGCAGAGTATCCGTTTAAGATTTAGGTTATATGTGAAACTTAATGCGTTTCCTTCCAGTCAGAACGGAATGGAAACATGCAATGTGTGGAGTTATTAAGTTTTCTGTTTTCAGCGTGGCACATGCAAAATACAGTCAAGCCGTTAAAACCCTGACAACACATTGCAACACCTCTGGTCTGTTTTATGACAGAAAAACAGCAGGATTTTAACCAAAGCAGACTTTTCAGGCATCAGATGATGGTCTCTTTAATCCAAAGAGACAATTCTGTGTGCGTTAGAAGGCAGTGTCCATCAATGTCCATCCCGTTAGAGTGTCTTAAACTTGGCAGAGGTTGTAGCAGGCCAAAGGTCTCTCCATCACGCTCTCTCCATCCACCTCATACACGTAATCGCAGCGATGTGCGATCAGAGGTGCATCAGACATCGCTACGCTCTGATTGCCAAAGGAGATTACTGTGTCTCTCTGTGGGGGAGAAGTCACCAGCAGTACAGTTAAAAAGATGGTGAAAGTAGATCTCTGAGGGGTTTTTTGTTATAAACTTTCATCGCCATTATATATTTTTATATGAAAAATATCCTCTATAATAAGCACTGTTAGTAGTGGCAGCACTAACTATTCACACAGATTATAAAAGTACAGACGCGGTAATACAATTTACCAGCATGTTGATGTTCAAAAAGCCAACCATCCACTAATTATTCACCAACAAAATAACCAAATGATAAGTATGGTGAAGATTAAGTTGTATCTCTAAATAGTTTGAAAAATCTATCTATAGAGAAAAAGTAAGAACATGGGTCTACTAAACAGCAAATGCCCTAAGAAAGTTACTTTTTTAGAAAAAACTACATCAAAGTCAAGATTTCATATTTAAAGGCCATGACAACATAACTTCATCCACTTACATGAATGATAACAACCAAACATTTCAATTAGGACATTTATCTATTTGGTCTTTTTGTGGGCGGGACTCAAAAAACAACAGCTATTGTGTTGTCTGCTTGTGTTATCCAGTGAAGATCCTGCTTTCCAAACCTTGATGAAGTCCCGACGTGGATTAGCTGAGTTCTTAGCTGTGCTTACTGCAATCACTGTGTTCGCACCATCATCAGGTCTTACTTTGTCCAAATAGTGTCGCTTTATTTTGGAATTTTAGCATTTACCTCTAAACTTTGCTGTCTCACAGAGCTGCTTGCATCTTGTTTTCCCAAAATGTAGCTTTGATCGTTTCTGCGTAATTAACACCACTTAACATTTTAAACAAAGTCTTCTAGTGGTTCCAAATGTAAATGTGTCCTTTAAAGTCCTCTTACCCGGTTGGGGCCACCTCCATTATTGTCCTCAGCTGGACTAGAAGTCGCAGTAGTACGAGCTGCCTTCTCAAAGTCCTTCTTACATAAATGAGCCATAATCCCAGCAGCCAAGGCATCGCCAAGAACATTGATCATCGTCCGGAACCGGTCACTGAAAACGACAGGAAAAAACCCTAATTAACCCCCAAGACCCACATATGCTCTGTATATGATCATTTCTGTGGGACTTACAGAATCCAATCTATGGCCACAATCAGTGAGATGTCAGCGGGCGGCAGCCCCACTGAGGTCAGGACAATAACCATGGTAACCAGACCAGCTTGAGGTATGCCAGCTGCCCCGATGCTAGCCGCCGTGGCCGTAATACTGAAAAGACCAGAACCGGCTCGTTAAAAATAACTTTTTATGTGGAAGATTAATGTGCTTGGTGATTAGTCTCACCTGATGGTGACCAGCTGGCCAAAGTCCAACTCGTACTCATTGACCTGAGCGATAAAGATGGCCGCCACTGCCTCATACAGGGCCGTCCCATCCATGTTGATGGTAGCTCCCACAGGCAGCACGAAGCGAGCAATCTGCCGGTCCACTCCACAGTTCTCCAGAAGACACTTCATGGTGATGGGCAGCGTGGCTGAGCTGACAGGGAGAGAACGAGAGCAAATGGTCAGGCCGGGGTACTCAGTCAACTTTACACCCAAATGTGACCGATGCCAAACGGTAGGACGTCCTCACAGTGGGCCCGTATATGTTTAATATTTGAAAATGGAGAACTAAAATGCCAGGCAACCAAAAACCATTAACAAACTGAACTGCAATCCCTCTTACCTTGATGACGTGGCCAGTGCAATGACAAGAGCCTGCAGCAACCCTCGGATATAGGGGAAGGGGTTTTTACGCGTGAAGAAATAGTAGAAGAGAGGCAGTAGGATGAGGCCGTGCACAAACAAACCAGACAGCACCGTGATGAAGTACATGCCCAGCTTCTCTCCCAGGTGAGCTGGATCGTGCATGTCCAGGATCTTCCCCGCCACAAGGAACACAATACCAAAGGGGAAGTACCTGCATGGAGGAGGGAAGAGAAGAGAATCATTTTTCAGCGTAACCTCCAAGTTATGACACCCTGCATTTCAACACTACTCGATATGACAAATTAAACCATGCTTTTTTATGATGAATTTGATCTGAACAATGTGCAAAATGCAAGGTCCAAAAAGAACGTTTTTCTGACTTTGGTTTGGAAGAACTTTCAACTGATGCGCCCTCAACCTCATACATACATGGAATTAACTAGATCGTCAACAGTGAGTCCCTGTCTGGCCTTTTCCCCCAGCATCCGGGGCCGACCTTGGTAATGCTCTCAAGGCTGGACGGGAGAAAATCCCTGAAGCCAAGCTCAAGAAGCTTGGCGGCTGTTACATCAGCAGATTAATCCCTTTGAAAGTGGATCTCCCAAAAATCACACGCAGGTGCAATGGTCAGGTGTCCACTTACGGCCATAGTGTATGAGCCGGGCCTAACTATGTATTTGCACATACGGTTATTCAGCAGTTGCTGAATTCACTTAAAAGTAATCCAGTCAACTCATGAGCTCCTTGGGGAAGCAGTAAGGACATTTGAGTCTTCTCCAACTGTGTGAGATTTATATTTAGATATAATCCCTACTGTGCAAACTCTGTTGTCATGGACATGATTTGTCTATTTGTGAAGGTGTGTGAGGGTGTGAACTTACCACATGGCAGCGTTAATAATCTTCATGACGCACTCGTTTATGCACTGGCACACGTTGACCAACGGCGCTCCACGTTCTCCCATCTTGCCCAGCAGCAGTCCTGAGAACGAACAGTGCAATCACAGGTGAGTTTGTACCATCTTATGTGTCACCTCTAATAAAGGTTTAATAATGACTAAAATCATGATTATTAACAGCTACTTTGTACTTATTTGATATGTCATATAATCTATATTTTGTCTACTCCTTCATTTATTTGAGAGTTACTATCAATACATATTTTTACACAGATTTTACAGATTAGGATTTTAACTTGAAAATAAATACAATTATCCAATATTTGATTCCAAACAGAAGAGTACCATCTGACTGTAATACCCTAGTGAATATGATACAACAACTACTCAATCAACTTGTTCTAATTAAATTAAGATACAAAAGTGTCATGTTGGCTGACGTCATGTTGCTCATGTTATTGGCTTATAATGTGAAGCGTGGGACCCTGTGTGATGGTCTCACCCATGGTGGCCGAGAAGATAACAATCCCCAGTACGTTCATGCCCTTGCTGGTACTGGGGACGATTTTATACTTGATGTCTGGAGCTGGGGTGATCTCCAGGAAGACTGGGTGGCCCAGCTGAGGGTTGTGGTAGTCGGGCATGACATACACATAGTTGGCTTGAGAGTCTTTTTCGTCGATGTTCTGTACAATGGGTACCAGGTCCGTTCGGTACTGGAGTTGGATGAACCGCAGAGGTTTGTTAATATGTGTACATTTTGGACATAAATCAGTGAATTTTACAATCCTTGTCTTGTCTACTAACCTGCTGAAACGTTGCTTCAATTAGATTTGACGGGATCATGTTCCTATAAAAGACAATATACAGACAAATACATAAAATACATGTGCAAAATGTATCAATAAATCTACAGTATGGTGTATACCTTATTTCATTAAGATGATATTGTACAGAGGCACTGCATGTTAAATTCTCAAATAACTCTTGTCTGTTACTTGTTCGTTAGTGCACTTTATGCTTAATATTTTTCTTTTTAACTTTTGGATATTTACATTTTTTTAACTTTATTCCCTTGTTTTTTACTAACCCATAGCCTTAGCCTTATTCTACTAACCCATTGCATTAGCATTTCATTCCACTATATTTTATTACTTGTGCACTGTTGTCTTGTCTGTCTACTGTCGCGCACTAACGGCCAAGACAAATTCCTTGTATGTTTGACATATTTTGGCTAATAAATGTTTTGATTTATGGAGGAGGGAAAAAATAGATTGTTTTTCTCAGACCATGCACTTATCTCACGGAAGGAATCATAAACACACACATAAGAATCTCAACAAAGTGCATGTTCACGCAGCACGGAGAGAGGCCTTCGCATGTGGCGGAAGGTGTACAAGGACAAGCTGTGTTAACACAGCACACGTCAATGGCACTGATCCCATGAAACAAGCTCATTAAACACGTCAGAGTGTGCACCCGACCTTTGGTCTCACAGCAAGAGACACAGCTCACTGGTAATAATCAGGTCTAAGGAGGAGGTATTAGTGGATCTCTGACAAGAATAAAGAGCAACATTGCATAAGAATCTTCTGGGAAAGTGAAGGCTTAAGAGATCACAATTAAGTGTCTTCCTATTTTCGGACAACCTGCTGCATTAGATTGAGACTGAAAATGTCTTGTACATGACGTCTTTTTCATCTTCTTCCCTGTTTTCATTTATAATGCTGAAATGTTTCCCCTGCTGACGCAAAGGTTTAGATTTTGATGTCGTAGTAATTGATTTAATGCTACCATTTTGTTTCTTTTATTATATTCTTTTAATTTTACTCAAATGTAACCACTGACCAAAATTTTAGAAAGCTTTACTCGCTGACGATTCAATTATTTCTGATATTCCGTCGTTTCGTTGAGATAGCTATTCAGCTCCCAGGATTCAGACGGATCCCTTTAGGTTTTGTGATTAGAGAGTGTCCGGTTCCTGAGGGAGCACAGCAAGGCCTCAAGGTTAGAACTGGATCCATACATAATTGAATTGGTCTTTACTGACTTCCATCACTAAAGGGTGTAATCCAGCAAATCCTCATCCGGGAAAAAGGAACAAATAAGAGGAAGTGTGAAAATCCAGAATCCCCTGAAAAACCTGCGGCGGCTTTTCTTTTATCCTGAGGAGGAAATGAAGGTGGGAAGAGTGCGGTCATTGGATCTTTTCCAGGAATAGGGATCCTAAACATGTCCTTAAGTCCTTCTATTGTTTCTAATGAGCAATCCGCTTAGGAACACAAAGGACGCTTAATAGCCGGTTTGGGGGGAAAGCCTGATTTGGTTGCTGGTTTACTTTAATAATTGATTGTCCTACAAGAAGCTCTCATGAGATCCTAAAGCAGAAGATTGTGTTGACTGGAAGATCAATGAACTTCTTACTTTTTTAGATTATTTATAGGAGTTTCTGTAGGTGCAATATGCGAAATGTCTCTTAAATTACAACGTTTTAATAGATTGCTTTACATACACCCATTCATGGTGCCCAGAGGATGCATCCTAATGTATCGTGACGATGTCCTGACCTCAAACTAGTATGCGTTTCATAGTCCCTTCTCTCTGTTTACATAGTCGTCGCAAACATTTCTGGCATCCGCATTTAGCTCAAAGCATTGCTGTGCCGAAGTACAACCGCACTGAGCCACTAGCCAGGCTCCAAACTCGTGCTCCTCGTGGAGGGAGGACAGAGATCAATTCATAGTAGGAATGACGTCAAATGGAGTATGTTGTGCATTCTCACTGCACAGTACCGGTATATGGATATTATACCTCATTAAATACCTCAATGGATACTACACATGTTATAAATGCATCAGAAAAACATGCCATAGCATGTTGAACTCAAAACTTCTGCAATCATGTTTTGGGGATGTGATGGTCATTGTTGTGGGATTTTAAGCCAAGATCACAATTGTTAATGTGTGTCAGATTCTCAATATGTGGTGAGACCAAATCTAGATCTAAATGATTAACTATTGGAAATTTTCTGGAATCATTTTCAGAGAAGTGATGCTTTAGGTCATTCTTATAGTAGACATAATGCAACAACTACATATTGACGCTGTGGTAAAGCAATAAGGTACGAGAGGCTGTACTTTATCTTCAATAATATAACAGTTGGGGGGTGGTGTGAGGCCCGACGCGCAGCTGAGGCCCGGCAACCCTCGAACAGTTACATTATTGGAAAAAGCTCACCTGTTACTTTGCAGTAACTTTTGCAGCCTTCAAAATCTTGAATATACAAATTCGTAGTGATACATACTAAATAAATACGGACTGCAACAAATGACGTCACCCTATTCAAAGTGAATGGGGACCTGCACCCCGTAAACACACTTTGTGAAGTCTAACGATGTAAAATAAATGTGTTATGATTGCATTTTTGACGAGAAATCAATGTTAAATTGTAAGAATACAATACTAACTTTAACCCCCTCAAAAAATCCAACATGGCGTAGAGACGTTCACTCAAGAATCCAACATGGTCCGTCATGTTGTTCACTCAAGGGGCGTGGTTAACCACCGCCAGTTCGTATGTATGGTTACGAATTTGTATGTTCAAGATTTTTGTATACATTTTACGGTTTTGGAGATCACGTTGCACTTTGAGTGCGCAGTGATACGGAACGCTCAGGTCAATGTGAACAACATCTGTACATTATTGCTCAAAAATGTACCCCTTGTGACTCACTCTCAACCAATCAGAACGCTGGATATCATCTACCCGCATTATAATATGCAACATGATATACAATTTTGAAAACAGTCCACAGAGCTTGGTAGGAACGCGAATAAGGTAAATGACTGGCAGAGTTCCCATTACTGTATTCTCTCTGTCAACATGTGATTGTGTCCGTCATATTTACCTGATGAGGTCCAGCAGAGCGTCAGCCGAGGTCATGACAGGCCCTGAATGTGAATGGTGGCCGTCTTTCTCCGAGCCAGTCCCCGGATGGATGATGAGCACCAGTACGATGCCGACGATGACGGCGATGAAGGTGGTCCACAGGTAGTAAGTGATGGTCAGGACGCCCAGTCGACCACTTGCCCTGGTGTCCATGGCGGACAGGCCTGACATAAGACTGCACGGGAGTACAATATCAAACAATGTGACCTTTGAACTCATCTTACTTCTTTGACAATGGAGCATTCAGACGCAACATATTTTCTAACTGTTTGGATGCCTTTCATCATTTTTCATTGTCAGTTTTATGACGTGGCTGTTATATTTTAGTCTGGACCCACAGAGGTGAGGACTTTTCTTACCTGGAGGTGATGAGCGGCAGAATCAACATCTTTAACATCCTCATCAGCAGTTCTCCGGGGAAGGAGAAATAGATCTTAGCCTGTGTGAGAGAGTGACATCTGAAGCCAACCTTATTTTAAGGAGCGCAGGGACCAAATTACTTTTGCTTCCATTGAAATCCAACACAAAGCTCTTTTGTCCCTTATGTCCACCAGCTAGTTGGCAACTGCGCCTGTCTGATGTTTGATGCTGAGTAGGTAATGGACAGTAACTATTTGCCCTTTTTTTAATGAAAACTTGACGATATGCAAGCAAAAATTCTACAAAGGTTCATAAAGCTGAGATCTGCGTTTTCTTTGGGTTCTTAAATAAAAAACACCTGTTTCCTGTGGGGCTCAATTTATTGATGTACAGCAGCTTTAACTCTTTAAGCACTTCTGACACCTGCGCTTCCTTGTTGTACTTGACTCTCGGCTTATCCGTACGTTGCTTATCCTCGTGTCCCATTATTACATAAGTGGCTTTAACAGCTGAATTGAACAGCACAGACTGACTGTTACTTCACATCCCGAACATTGTGTTCGTTTGCACACAGCGTTACAACCTCAAACACATTCTACCAGGGTCATAATGTTAAATGTAAATCTGTAGCACGTGACTTTCTATCCGTCCTCACCTGTGTGGACAGGTTGAGCGATCTCAGGCCGAATCCCAGCGCACAGCCCGTCACGACAGCGAAAACCGAGAGCGTCAGCAGTCCGTTCCTCTTGCAGTAGTCCTTCACGAACACCCTGAATTTCTTTGAAAACAAGTTTTTTATCAACCTCTTTAACCATTCCATCCTGAATAATGTTTGGGCCGTATCCCGGCTCCCACAACCCTCCTCCTCCTCCCCCCACTGAGTGAACGTAGATATCTGAGTGAGTGAGGCTGATCAGTAGGCCCTCGTGTCCCACAGGAGCCCGAGGCGGAGGACAGCTCGTGGGTCCGATCAAATGAGGCTGCTGTCTCTCACTGAGGAACTCCAGACTGAGGCAGGAAATGTTGACTAACTGATCCGAGGGACGCGTTGCCTAAAAGGATTATCCCTATCCTTTGCTTCTCCACAGCCAGCCAGGTCTAATTAAAGAGGCTCAGCACTGATTACCTTCTCCTTCCATGGCTCATTATGAGTTATTACTACCCAACTCCAAATGATCACATTCATATAACAGGTACCTTTTTGATTTGCATTTAGAATATATATATTTTAAATAATTATAGATGGGAAAACGGTATAATCCAAACGTTTTGAATTGATCGGGGAAATAATGGGTGCTTTCTGAGCACACATGTTGGATTTAGATTTCTGCTGTGAGCGAGTAAAGGAGGTGAACTGTAGAGGCAGCTTCAGTCCTCAGTGTTTAGGAAACGTGCTGACACGTCCTCTTACCACCACGTCAGGCTGGCTTGTCTGTTCACAGATCAATGGCCCTAACGTCAGGACTTTTAATGGCGAACATGTCTTGTTGGCCCAGAGAAGCATTCTTAAAGCACTGAAAAGGCTGAAATTTAAGCAGAATCAAACCTCTAAAACGTGGAATTTCATTTATTAATATATGTTTGTAGATAATGAATAATGGGAATGAGTTAAACGACGAATAAGTGGAATTACAACTACAGCACCAGGAGAGCTGTTCACCAAAATCATGACATGCTCTCGTTTTTAGCTTCTCAAGTAGTTTCTATGTCTATTGTCGCACGTTGTCAGCGTGTCTTGTTAATTCTGTAGTCTGCTGCCGTCACAGCATCACAGCTGACCTGAGAACAGATCCAAGGTGGACTCGGTCCACTACAACAAGGCCTACGTCAACAACAAATCCAATAACACTTAATCCTCGTCTAGAACAATGCACACAGCAAGTCCAACAAATGGTGAAAAAGGTACGAGTGCAGTGAGAAACATTTCTTTTTTAACTGTTTTATTTCTGCTAAATGTTAATTAAAATCATACACTTGATTATTTCTAAACTCAAACCAACCGAGAAAAGTTCCATCTTGAGTGCTTGAAGCTGCTGTTGCTACTTTTCGGCCTCAGAAACCATGAAATTCTACTTCATATATATTAGCTGTATTTATTCGTTTTTAAACTGTTAGACAAACAAAATAAATCACAAGCGATTCCCTGTCAAACACCAGAAAGCCCACATCAAATAATTGTAAGCCATATTCCTTTTTAGTAACATTTACAATTGAATATGTGCTCAGTGGCCTGAGACATTGATTTACGGTTGCAACTAAAACACAACCTAGACTGTTTTATCTATCAAATATATGAAATCAACCTCTACCGACTATACCTGGACTAGTTAGCACTTTATTAGCACTTACTTTTAGCCCTTTTGTGGTTCGGCCTTCTTGAATCTTGCTGATGTGGTTCTGTCCCCTCTTGATTGAATGGCCTTATTGTAAGTCGCGGTGGATAAAAGCGTCAGCTAAATGATAAATGTAAATGTTACCCCCCCCTCTGCTTATCAATAGATAAAGGCTGCCCTCTGCAGGCTCCACAAACAACTCCACAGTGGCGTAACATTGAGTTTGAATTCAACCCTTTGCCTTTTTCATGGTCTTAATCATCTCCTAAGTTGCTTTTTCCCCTCTAAACCCAACAACTTTCTCAACCATATGAAGAACTCTTCGACCGAAAAGGGAAAAAAAGTGCTTTTCCAAATGAAGAGTGTTTTCATGAAAACACAATCAACAGATTGTGTTTCATTTTGTAAGAATTGCTCAGTACAATACGGACAAACAACCACCAGAGGGGTGATGGAAAGAGAACATAAACAAGTAAGAATTAAACCCACATGTGCAATGAAACTGTCCAAGTAAGAATTAAACCCACATGTGTAATGAGTTAATAAAAAAATAACTTTCGTGAGTGCTTTTAGAGTCCACTCGGTTTCTCTGGTCTCATGCTGCTTTGTTTTTACTTCACATTATCTGCAGTGTTTTAGTCTGCTGGTTGTTTAACTGGCTCAGCTGGTTATAGGGGAGCTGATCATGTGACCTTCCCCAGCATATATCTTTAGGCCTTTTATGGGATGTATGCATTGCGCTTTCACTTAAAATGTGATTATTTTGAAAGACAAAAGTACCATATAATGTAAAACTGTAGAATTGTCACTCTAGTTAAACATTTTAAAATGCTTTTTACATGTGAAAATTCTGAAAAATAGCTATAGGCCTACAGATATTTAAATCTTAATTTTATTGGTATGAAATATGATAAGGTGCCCCCTGCTGTTGCAAATGTGAGAGAATGTGATGAATTGGCAATAAAGCAAAGTCCCAGTTGAATTTAAATAATACCATGCAATGAAGGCTGCCATAGAGCCTAGAACAATATTTATGTGCTGGTTCCGCAACGAATGCAACTTTGACGTTGTCCAAATCCTTTTTCCTTTTAATTCCCAAGAGGTTAAACTGTTAATATTATAAAATATAATAAAGCAGGGTACGAATTAATACTAACTGCTTTTCTCAAATAACACATGGAAAATGATTCAGTTATTGTTTAATTTAATCACTCAAGTTGACGCAATAATGTAAACAAAGTCCTTTATCGGCTTCCACGGTGCGGTTAAAACGTCGCCCGTTCACCTGCTGCAGCGACGGAGCTCTGTGATTGGCCAGCGGGTGACTGTTAAACCCCTCCCCCTCGCCTCCCCTCCCCTCGCCACCGCAACTTGACGGAGTCAGCAGACAGCGATCCAGCGGCGAGTTATCGGGCTAATTATCAAACCAAGGTCAGTAACGTTCCCCCCTTTTTAATCGTGTTATCCCACATACCGTACACGTCGGTCCGTGTGACATTCTGTGTCGCCCACAGAGGCCCAGGAAAAGCCCCCAAAATGAGCCAACTCAAGGACCGCTTTGTGACTTTGCTCCACGAGAAGAACTTCGTGACGGATCAGCTGGCGACCGTGGAACAAAAGACGGGAGTGAAGAGGGAGTACATCGCCTTGGGTGAGTCAACGACTCTGCGAGAGAGAAAAGGGGGACACTTCTCAACCGTTTCTCCTCATGCTCGTGTGTGTACTTTTACTCGTGTTTCGTTAGCTGCCGTTTGCTCTCCACGGCGAGCAAACGGCAGCTAACGGTGACGTCAGTTGAGCTACTGGCAGCCGGCTGTGGTCTAGTGGACACACACACACACACACCTCCACTTTTTCACCGTGTTCTCGCGTCCCGCGTGGCTCTGCTATATTACACGTCACCGTGCGCACGTAGCAAAGTTCACGCAGCTCGCGCGTTTATGCGCCCGTTGCACGATTAGAGTCGGTTATAAACCGCGCTTGAAATGAGCCGCCTGTAAATCTACCAGCGGCAGCTGGTCCCAAAGGGGTATTTTTATCACGTCCCGAAATGCATCCAGTGCAATGCAGAGATGGAAGGAGACTCTGGGATGACTGGTTATTCATCTGCAGGCTGCTCTTGTAGTAGAGTTGTGTTTAGACACAGTCAATAAAGGCCAGACGCCTCAGGTTACAGTATCTATGTATTGGTCAACCGGTTTCTCTGCATTAACTGTTAGATGACACTTGGTAGTCAGGCTGTCCTACGTTTTAAACGCCTTGTCGTTACTCAAAATGGAACATGAAGATTCGTTTAATTAAACGACTCGATTTAAGGTCACCGGGGACGGCGACTGCTGGATGTGAGCCTTCAGACCCTCTGGCAGGTTTCTGTTTTTTTCGTAAAGTTGATCCTATGATCACAAAAGTCCGATCGGTTTATTTGGCGTGTGTTAAAGCTCAGTCAGATCTGCATGCAAATCATTTTTTTTTTTTTTGTTTTTATTACCACACTCTAAATGCACTCCGCTGGCTCTCAAATGCGGAGAACTGCATGCAAATATCCTTATATAATATGGCTATTTCCTGAAAGAGCAGCCTCATTTTATCTTGACACTGTGCCGCGTCAGTATCGCGTTCGGTTTCTCTGTGACGCAACATCCGTTCCTGTGATACTTTGGCCACGATGAAGGCTTGTTACAGGCGTGTGCCCTGATAATGTACCCTAACCCTTCATTGCATACAATAAATCCCTTCCCGTTTGCTCCGGCCAACGTTCTGTTGCACCCGACGTGGGCCTGTGAGTCCCTTTTTTAAACTCTCACCCGCTCAGCCGAGAAACGTCTGCAGTTCGTGCAGACTTGTATGTCTCTGAAGTGGAGGAACCAACCTGCTGACTCGAGTAGAGCGGGTTTCCTCTCTGCGGTGGATGCAGCCGACCTCACTGAGTGTTTGTTTTTAGTTTAGTTTAGTTTTTTTTCTAGGCTGTAAAATTTGCTTACCGGTACTTGCAGCCAGATAGATCACCTTTGCAGTATGCATCGCTGGCTAATTAAAAACGTCAGTGTATGGTTTTATCATTCAAAGCGTTGCTGTGTGCGGTGCCTGCTTATGTCAGGCGTTCAACCAGTTCTTCTGGGTTTTTTACCTTCATTAGAGAGAAGTGGGCCAACGGGAAATTGCATGGACATTTGTATATGAGCTGGGAAACCCAAATGAGATGTAAAGAGCAGGGAATCGTTTGGACACCATCAAAGGCTTTAAGTGCTCTGGGTACTGTGGGACCTTATTTTGCCGCTGGCGTTGCTGAGACATGGCTTTGCTATCGATAGTGAGGTTTGGCTACATTTGAATGATGTATTCATTACTCTCCTTTACAGCTGCTCGAGGGTTGGACGTCATGCTCCTTGTTTTTACACAAACCTGTTGTGTAGAAACAGCGTTCCCTCACACAGCGGCTGTCGAGCAGCATTTGGAAATCTGTACCCTGGAGAGTTTTCGAAGCAACGGAAGCGCATGAGCGGTTTTGAAGTCGATCTGTGATGTAAGAAAGGGAAAGGCCAAAATGTATTGGCTTAGAAGTCAGCATCTTGCTGCAAGCTAATCCGCAGACTTTATAAGCCTGAGGGATGAGCAATGCAGCAAACTTGCTATTGCTAAGAGTCGGCGCCATGCAATGGCTTTCAAATCACCTGAAGATCCTACAGATTTTATGGTAAATTTGTGTGGAAATCCAGGAAAGGGTCAGATAATTGCGCCACAAGTAGCCACAATGTTTCACTTGCCCAATATCCAAATTGGTCTGAAATGTAAAATATGGATAACATCAACATTTGAACAATTATCATAAAGCCATTGAAATGTCTCGCTCCACTATTCTAACTGTTATTTTGCACAGCAGCTTGGCATTATTAGTCTTACACTTTTTTAATAAGCTGCTTAGTGGTAGGAAGTCAAAACGGTCCAATTCCTAAACTAATAATTGTGTTACACTCCTGTTAAGACAACTGTTTGTATTCAAGCTTTTGCAGGATATCCTTATAGTTTACCATTTCCCTGCACTGCCTTCTCTTGATTGCACTATGTTGCTGAATGTGTTCTCTATTGGAGTCAGCTGTTGGCTCTGTTTTTAAGGGAGACTGGGCCGCCCAGGCCGTCTCACATGGCCTTGTGAGCTTAGCGGTGTATTTAATGTCAATGCTTCCACTGACCTGAATTTGAATATCAATGTTTGACTTGTGTTTCGTGCTCCTCCTGGTCCTGGTACTGTCTAGACATCCTGCTCTCGGGCACACACACCATTTAGTTTTTAGCTTGATATTAGCTCAATTGTTTGTCCAGTAACTTGATAACCTTACCCTCATCATCTCTCTCTGCAGGTGTTCTGGGTTTTGTGGGGCTGTATCTTCTGTTTGGATACGGAGCCTCACTACTTTGCAACCTCATTGGCTTCGCGTATCCGGCATATTTCTCGTATGTATGAAGATGAGCTTGTTTCAATGCACTCCAAACTACATGTAGACAATTTTAAAGGGGAAATCACTAGCGTTTGCATTTGCATGTCCAGTCAGTGCTACCAGTAAATGTACTGCTAAAGAAATAAGTCCACCACTTTGTGCTGTTTGGACCGAGAGAGCTGGATACATCTGGCACGAGTTTCCTTCTTTGTGGTTAGGGGCTCGACAAAGGAAATCTTCTCGCGCCTAAACTGAAGAATATGAAGAATGTGTAGTCCTAAAACACAAATCATCTGGACGGAAACTATATAAAACTCTGCAAACAGTCTTCAGCGACTGATATGCTTTTTACATTTTCAAATTGTCCTATTTCACCTATTATATGAAAATATGCAAATTATTTATTTATGACTTTTTTTTTTTTTTTTACTAAATTCCCTGATGATTTTTTATTTAACAACAATGGATTTGCAGTAGGACCTGATTTCCTACTGCACCTCTGTGGAGTAGAGGAATGATGTAGAATGGCCAATAACTCAGTCGGCGTACATGTGGACACAAGAGTGTCGTCCTGAGAGACCCGTAGTACGGTATTTACACCCCCATAAATCTGAGCCCATCCAATAACCGCTGCTTAAAGGCACCCTGCGGCTTTCTTCTTGTAAACAAACGGGCCACAATTCGCTTTGAGTTAATGTATAAAGTGTTGAACAGTACTAATGAAATAGCTGCCAGTTGTTGGTGCGTTGTAACATTTTAACCGCATCACTACAGTGTTTATTTATTAGAAATCGCAAGCCTCTGCATTCTGCACAAATGTTTATCGTGTCATCCTACAATAACAACTGCAAGGGATCCACCCTTTGTTTTTGTTTTTTAACAGTCACACTCCAGGATAACTTTAACCCACCATGGGTGTCACTTTTGGTGTTTGCAGTATTTACGGTCTTATGTTACTACCTCATCAATCTTCTGACTCAAACCTGTCGTCGTTTTGTTCATTCAGCATTAAGGCCATCGAGAGCAGTGTGAAGGAGGATGACACTCAGTGGCTCACCTACTGGGTTGTTTACGGACTCTTCAGCATCGTCGAGGCCTTCTCTGACATCTTCCTCTTTTGGTTCCCTTTTTACTATATTGGCAAGGTAGGTTAACATTGTTTTTCGGGCTAGTTCTTTTTTTTTTTTTTTTTGTACGGACGTTATTTAGTTCTGTTTTTTTCAGGCTGAACGTTAGTTATCGCTCCCTTTCTTTTTCTTCTCTATTGTTTTGCCAGCCAAGTCTGCGGTTACTGGGAAACCAGACCGTCACAACGTGACTCACAGGATGCTCAATGCTTTTGGTCCTCTGAACGTTGTAGTTGGCCAACTGCGCCCCATCATGGAAAAGACGTTCAGAAATCTGCTATGATGTAGCTGTGTGATTGTTGGTTACTAATGAATCCGTTAAATAAATGTAAAGTAAATGAACTTGCTAACGGCTCCAAAACCTAGGTGATTTGGAGAAAAACTGTTGCAAAGTATATTAACTACCCAATTCAATTGTTTTGAAAGTTCATATACAGAACCGTGTGCGTGTGTGTTACAATGCATTTGGGACTTCCATTCAGTGGAGTGAGTCTTGGAGTCTGTTTCATGTCCTTACCTGCGAGTAGATTTTGATGTTGAGTGTAGTTTAGGTTGTGTTGAGACAAAAGGGACCCCCACATACAGAAAGTCCTGTTACGGTTAACCAGAGCCAAATTTATTCAGGCATTATTGTCGTTATCATCATCGCTTTCCTTGATTTAACGTGTTTTGGTTTCTGCTAATGAATGTAATCCTGAATAATTAGGACAGAACTGTCTCCTATTGTGCATTGAGTGTTGGAACTTAACGTCATTTCAGCAAAATGCAAACACTAACTGTTTGTCATGCATTTGTTTACTTACAATCACAATTGGTTTCAAATGGCTGCAGTTTTTCTTCCAATTAATCAGACTGGAAGATGCACAGTAATCTAATCTCTATGCTCCCTCAGTGCTTGTTCCTGCTTTGGTGTATGGCTCCAGTGACGTGGAACGGCTCTGAGATCATCTACAGGAGGGTCATCCGGCCTTTTTTCTTAAAACACCAGGCCACCATGGACAGTGTGGTCAGCGATTTGAGCGCCAAGGCCAAGAACATAACTGAGAATGTGGCGAAGGAGGGTGAGATACCAACAGTGTACATGCAAGTACAGCCAAATACAATATATAAATAAATAAAGATATTGCAGCAACCTATTCTCACAGCATACACCCAATCATTCACACTGTAACATGATCTCCTCAAGTACAGTAGTATGTTAAATCTTTCAGTGTTTTTATGTCTGTGTAAATTCAAATGAGGTACAAATTTCCACTTTAACTTAAAGATGAAAGATAAATACAACTGCAGCATGACTTCAGGGGTAAATACAACTGCAAGGTGGTAATTCTAGTTTCTTCTCTTTGTGTTCCGTCAGCTGTTAACCGGGCCCTTAACCACGAGAAGGACCAGTGAGAAACCTGGTAGCCGTGTGTGTCTGTCGAATGACGATGGACCCACTGCGCCATGCGGTGACGCTTCATCCTCGTGACAATAAATTAAACATTGTTTGTGCAGTTTACTGCCGTTGGTACAGCGACGACAATCTGGAACTGTGATCTTTCTGTGTGCGCTTCATTTCTTTGTTGTAGTGTGAGAGAATTCTTTTTTGGCAAAAAGAGTTTACATATTTGTGCAACAGTGGTGGTGCTGTCAACATTATTTGTCAAAGTGAGCCATTTGTACCAGAAGGCAGTCTGACAACATTGAGAGTTTTAAATACAGGTTGTTTTCAAATGTGTCTACAAACCGGTGTTTTCTAACCTTGTAAATCAAAACTGGAACTTCGCTGTGTGTTTTAATGTTTTCTTACTCTTAAAAGCCTTACCTTTGCATGTGCCAAGCAGTTTGAAGTCTGTTTGAGCTCTTGGGAAGGTTCTCAATCTGTAACTACATCTGGATGACTTCTGCCTTTTGAAATGTCTTAATTTATAATGATTAAATAAAACTGGAACCTTTTATAAAGTGTCTACTGGTCTGGCTTTAAACTTTCAGATTGTATTTGTTTCTTCTCATGTCCTTTCCCCAAACGGTGTCTTTCCTCCCAAAGTGGGAAATTAGATTTTATTTGGTCCAAGTTACAACATTCACGTGCCAGTGATCTCATTGATATATATTTTTTTGTGTGTGTGTCCCAAGTCAGTGAAATTAACTTTCTGGATCAGTAACTTCTACTGATTTGCTTCTGGTTTATTTTGCAGCATTACATGTTTCTTATTCATGAACTGTAAACTTTGGAAACATTACTTAAATACTCTAATCTTTATTCAACATATCTAAACTTCATTTTACAGGGAGATATTTTTGTTGCTTGATTTTCTTATCAAACGTTAAATGACACTATATACAAATTGGGGACAACATGCTTTTTTAAAAACTGTTGTGATACGTTTTCGGGACCATTTTTCTCCCATTCTCATATCTACTTGTTCCTTTTGACCGATCGCCCTCAAGTCCAATTACCGGCATTCAAACGGCCTAACCGCCCGCACGTTAATTTGTCCATGACTGTATTTACGCTCGAGGGGCTCTGAAAGGGAGGCCCTTTGTGCCTGTGCGCTGGCTGTAATGCATGCTGAATGTAACCGGTGCAATGTCCACTCACCGCCATGAGAGGAAGGCACTCATCTGGACATGGTTGCTGTGAAGATTCTGGGTGTTTTTTATGTAACTTTACCTGTACAAATAATTACATTCCTGCCTCTGCGTTGACATTTAACGCCTGTTGTCTGAGCACTTCTCATTTATGTTTACTTAGAAGTGGAAGACTAAAGTCGCACTTCACTGATGTTGGTAAACTTCAATATGATCGGGGCCAATGCTTACTGATCTCTCCTACCTATTGTATAATGAAGATTGCAAATTAGCCCATTGTAACATACGATTTGGACTTCATTCTTAAACTATCCAGCTGTCGATTTTTAGCTCTTAACTCTCACGCGTTATACTTCCTCCTGCGTGACCGTGTCTCGTCCTGCAGTTCCCGGGCTCGCCGACAGATGGCAGCCGGCCCCCCGCTGTGGATGGAGAGGCGGTGAGTCATACAGGGAGACCGTCACGTACCAACAGCTCAAAACCAGGCCCGCTCCCCTTCTGCCACGGGCCTTCATCAGCGCCGAGCCGATGGTTCCTCACGCGCAATGACGACAAATCGAAATTAATTAAATGTTTTAAATTATTTTCGACGACGGCTGAGAATATGTTCGGGCGTCGACTGATGCGCTTCCTGGTTGATCTACTGTGTGAGCAGGGCGCCTGCACGTGTTGTTCTTCTCTGTTGTGTGTGTGTGTGTACAGTGTATTCATCCTACTGTACACACCCTACTGTGTACACCACTGTCGTCTATGGATACTCATTCAGAGACAATCATTTGGGATCGCTGTCTCTCCCCGTGGTGCTGAAACAATAAGGTCGCTGTCCGCGGTGCTGATCCCGAATATGAAGACGAGATGTGGGTTGTTTTTTAAGGGTAAAAGCTGACAAGTAAAACTTAATACAAAGTATTCAATCGTGTATTTCCAGGATACTCCTGGTTACCCATGCGTGATTGGTAGTAATGTGCCTGATTGGAGTAATTGTGTAGTATTCATATTAAAAGGTCGGTTTACATTTGAGCAAACAACAAAATGAATATACTCAAATGTTTAACTCCATCAAAATAATACAAAAATTCGAGATTTTGAGATTCACTCAAGATTTCACCTTTGCCATTCTCTGAGTTTCTGTATGGGCCAAAATGAAAGTGGCATAATAATTGTCTATACCCGGGACAAGTATCTTTTTGGCTTTGGCTGAACCATCGACGCAATCATTTTGGAAATTAAATGGCGCTCTCCTCACGCGTTTGGCTGTTGATATAATATACTAACATTTTCTATAGCCTCTGTAATAATAAATAATAATTACATAACATCATATTCGAGTCTGACATATGCAGTGTCTCATTAATAATCCCATATTCTTTCATCAATTCGTCATTTAGACATCTAAATGTCTAAATCTCAAAATCACGATGATCTCGTATAACATTCCACTGGGTCTAATGAAATACTTTAAGTTCTTAGTAAACTGCAGCTTTGCTGGCAACCCGGCCACAGGGAAGTCTTTGGACAGCACGTAAATCAAGTGTGGACACATACGGGAGAGGGCAAAGCACCTCCCACGTCCTATCTGCGCGCGCGAGAGAGGGAGAGAGAGAGAGAGAGAGAGATTGTCAGAGAAAGCGAGATAGTCGTCTGTGGCGGTGTTGGAAATCGGACGGCATGAGCTCTACATGAACCGTGTAAAATGCTTTAAGACGCTTTCAGCGTTTGTCTCATACCCGTCCGAACCGAGGACAACCCCGAAGCGGAGCTCCACTTCCCGACCAGGTAGGGACACGCCGCGCATCCCCGCATCTCGGACACGGAGCTTACATGTTGGTACTCGGTGGCGTGACCGCGGTCCTTCTGCCTGGCTGCTGCTCTGCGCGGCGCGCACGCGGGACATCGTGTCTCATGTTCTTTATTCATCCGGGTGTTGTTGTTGTCCTAAATGCATCCAGAGCAGCTGCAATCAAGACTCGCACATCTCCGTCGTGTGAATGGTGTACAGCCTGTGTGCCCGCACAGCCATGTTGGCAGTCAGCGGGTGGTGGGGGGCGATAGAGGGGGGCGAGATGTAAGAGTGTTGGGATTATGATACTGCTTTGATGAGTAGAGGGAGGGGACGGGGGAATGGGGGAATGGGGGACGGGGGAGGTGGGGGGCGCTGTAACTGCGAAATGATGGCACCGTTGCGAGATGGCGATCCTCTGGTATTTATGAATGAACCGAACAGAGTAGGGCGGTCTGTAATGGCGCTGCGCACCAATCTGCGGACTCTCCTGACTGTAGCCGAGACGGAGACTGTACAACAATAATGACGCCAACGTGACGCATAAAGCTCGATTCCTGTGGTTAATCCTCCATCGGGATCAGTGTCTCTCTATGCCCCCCGGCCCATCCCCTCCCGTGCCCGTTCATGGGGCGTCTATTGACTAGAGAAGAGAATCATCATGGAAAACAAAAGGAGTTTTGCATCATTTAGCCCTTGTGCGTGCTTGAGATAGAGAGAGAGAGGGAGATAGAGAGAGACACACAGAGAGAGAGAGAGAGAGAGAGAGAGAGAGAGAGAGAGAGAGAGAGAATATGTATGTGACTCAACTTCCTGTATGCTTTGAACATTGCCAGTCATGGGTGTGTGTGTGTGTGTGGGGGGGGGAGTTCAGGATTTGTGAGAATAGAGAGGACATGCATGAGAGTAAACCATGTGATTAAGCTATTAAATGTGTGGTTGGGGAGTACAGCATTGAGGTGCATGCGTGTGTGGGTCGAGGATGGGAGATAAGTGGAAGTGTGAATGGCCACCGCACAGTTGCATAAGAACACTTCTGCTGTTGAGGCAGGACAAAGAAATGACTCAATGCACGATAACTAATAGAAAACACAGAGGAAGGGACGAGGCTGATGTGCTGAGGTTTTTGATGATGTGCAAGATGAGCACGGATGATGATTATTGAATTTCTGTTTTCCCCCCAAATTCTGCTGTCGACGTGCAGCTCCACGCACAAAGGCAGCTGCTAGAAAAATTTGGATGCTTCAGTGGATTAAAAAATTATTCTTGTGCAATCTGTGATAATAGTGTTAACAACGTCAGATCCAAGATGCTATTTGCTGCAGTGAGAAAGTTTGCAACAAAAAGGTGTCAAATAATTTATCATATCACTTTGAGCTTTATTTTATCAGAATCAGAATCAGAATCGTATGTTTGCACATACGTGGAATTTGTCTCCGGTTACATGTTGCTCTGTCATACATAGATATACAAATAAACAGAATATAAAAAAATCAGAAAAAAGACGTTAAAAAAAAGATGTATAAGGATTATATGTTACAATAGTACATATTACGAAATCAATTCAATCAATAACAATAAGCTGTATGAAAAGGCAACATTACACAACAATAATAATGTGAAAATGTAAAGTAAAATAAGAATAACCAACTATAAAAAGAACATAAATATGTGACGGCTGATAGTGAGACAAAGGCCAGAAAATGAGGAAACCTGCCCACAACAGACTTCTGATAAAATGTCATAGGGATATGCATTTTATTTTAAAAGTAAATAGTGTGGTTGCTTTATGGACGGTTAAAATGTTTGAATTTTTTTTAGATGCTCTGAGGGCACGGCTCATCTGAAAGGTCTATACAGTCTCCGTTAGACATGGCATTAGGCAGGATTATTTTTAGTAATACAGAATATTTGACATTTCCTTCAAATATCACTCATTCATTATTAAATGAGTTCTGAGAGAACTGAGAGAAAATTTGTGGTTAGAGATTAAGAAACTGCCTCTCCCATAATCCCAGTTTCTTCACCTGAGCCTCGCCGGCAGTCTGCAGCGAGATTCCCTTCTACATCTCCGTCTGCGTGGTTTTCAGACGTGGATCAAGTGGTATTATGAAGAAAAAAAGATGTGCTTGGTTGATGCTGTCGGTAGAAACCAGCGGAGTCAATTCAAAAGTACAACCCCTGTCAGTGTCACCATCTGTCACTGCAGGCAGGCTCCTGCAACCCACACCAGCAGTCTGCAATTAGTGCTGCAGTCAACTCAGTGGCCTCATAGCGTCTGAGAAGAAGCTCATTTGAATACACCATGCAGACTTTAAAACAGACCTGATTTCTGTTTTGCTAGTGCAGGAAACCAAATTCCCTTACTCTTTCTTGGCCCGATTCTGGTGTTAATATCCAGACGCCGGGCTGTGGTATTAGTGGAGTCTTACGGAGAGGCCAGACGGAGCCACGCGGGGTTCCCCAGGTCAAGCTAATACTCATAATACACACTCAAAGGCTAATTACATGGATCCAGTCCTGTGTGACAAACTGCAGCACAGAATCAGCGTTATTATGGTTGCAGGATTTGATTACAGCTCAGGATTCAATCTGCCGGAAGGGGAAATATTATTCTAATCTCTCCTTGAAGGTGTGCATTTAGTGTACATTTCCAATAGGATCCTCTGCTTGGGCAACAACAGGCATTGTGCAGCTAAATGCTCATGATGGTACACATTTGGCTTTGCAACAATTTGTCTGTTACCTTTAAGCTTTTTATGGCAAGATTTGATTTTGTTCTACATTTACCTCTTGCTCTTTTTCTGTGCAAGTACTCAAGTGAGCTACACACATTTTAGATTTGCAATTAATAATTACAAATACATTCAACCCCATTGTTTTATGACAAGGACTCACCTTTCTCTTGCACCAGGATTGTGTGAATGCACACAGTGTATCTGGAATTGTCACAGAAAACACTAACGTGTTGAATTAATGAAGACTACTGAAAAGAGTTTACTATGAGTTATAATCCTTAACATTTCATAAACTCTAACTCTTCATACTAATTATGTCCTGAGCCTTCTTTTGGTTGCACTTCAAACAGATGCACACATTGCCCTTTTTTTGTATTTCTGACAAAGTATCTGCTCAAGGAGCATTTTATGTGATATTAAACCTCACGTTTACCACATTAAACATGGTTAGTGCCAAAGGAGGGATTAAGGATAAAAGAACTTGACCATAGTAACGCTACATGTAGAGCTCCTGTCTCAATCACTCTGCTATAAGTAATTAGGCTTGACTCTGCTGATATTGCTAATGCCACAGTGTTACCCTTAGTATACGCTAAGTCGAGTGGAATTTTGTGGAGAATCTTAGGGCTTCCTTCGGAATTGCATGTAGTCTTACAGGAAGACTGCTGGTATCTTAAGTCCTGATATTTGGGTCAATGCAGAGACGGCCAGCAGCACACAGGAGGTTAAGCTCAATGATTAGCTGCTAAGCCAAGACCACAGCGCTGCAACCTCCTGGACGCTCTCAGGCACAAACTCCACGCACGTGAGGTGGTGCGCTCAATCACGGTACAGACTGACACTGATGAGAGGCAGACACCCCCCCCCCCTTCATTGTCTCACACACAGCCTTCAAACTAGCCTATTTTATTTTAAACCTATTTTCATGATATTATTATGACACGTTATTTTAATTGACTTCCATTAACACGTAAAGTTTCCTTTATTTGCATCATCTCCCTCTAACGCACACACACACACACACATGGAATCAGACAGGAAAATTTGTGTTTGTCGTCACATTTTTAGTACTGTGATGGATACAATTTGTCACGTTCATATATTTTTTAACTCAATAATAATTCAAATCTTTCAGAACAGGCTTTTCACTGCTTTTTCATGTGTTGTGTTCCATTGGTCGGTGTGCACTGTGAGAGCAGCGTGACTGAATGTCTGAGACTGTAACTAAATGTGTGAATGCATCATCCACTGCCTGATCACTCCTAATGAAACAGCCTGGGACTTTAAATTGCCTTTTGCTAAAAATGCAGATTCATCCCTCTCAGAAGATGCAAACTTGAGACGCGGCCGCTGACGTGTGCAAACAGGGAATCTTTTGCTCGACTGCACGGACGCACACTCGTGTCCGTCTGATCGTCTGGCGACTTAAGAGACAGATGTGGTCTGTGTGCGTGAGTGTGTGTGTGTGTGTGTGTGTGTGTGTGTGTGTGTGCGTGAGTGCGATTGTGAGAGAGTAGTCAGAACATTTCAGAGCATATTGAGAATAAGATCTTTTCCCGTAATACTTTCATCCCCAAAACATATTTGTGTACCCTCGGCATTCCAGTATCTGCGGCTTGATCAGAACGCTCTCTCAACAACACACCACAGGACGGCTTTGTTGGTGTCTATTCAATCACGCTCTTGATCTGTTGAATGGGATCGTGTTTGATGTTGGTTAATGCGCATCCTTTGTGCCGCTGCGTAAGTGGCTCTCCTGAGGGGAATTATGTGCATATTTTCACTAAAGGTGACATTTCCTTGCTTGCTCCGGGAAATAAACGATGCGAGGAGGCTCCCTTGTCTGAGTGAGAGGAGAGGAGGCTTGTTTGCTCTGTGCCAGAGCCATTTGCTAATGGAGTTTGGCTTCACTGCCAAAGATGTATTTATATACCATTAATTCATTAGGAGACTGCAGTCCTCTCATTTCAACTAAAACTACAGAAGAGGAGTGGGAAAGGGGGAGAGAAAGCTTCTGATTTGGAGGTCGTTAATCTCAGAGGCCTACTGTCAAGGACAAATGTTGAAGGAACCAAAGTGCTGTGTGTGTGCGTGTGTGCGTGTGCGTGTTCGTGTGTGTGTGTGCGCTTTCACGTGTCTCTGTGTCACTGGGAGGTTGCACCTGCGTGTGCAGTTATAGCTGCTGACAGAGGGAGGGAGGCAGCTAATTTTAGCTCAGGTGGAAGACAGAAGGGAGCGGAGGAAGGTTTTGACAAGCAGGATCGTTGTTGTGGCGCTGAAATCCCTCCGACCAAAAGAACCAACGGGCACAAAGCGAGGAAGGATGACCAGCTGACAGGACCCAGACAGACCAGCCCCATCGATCAAAACCGCAGCGGCGGCCTTACTTTATTGATCAACCAGCGATGGGGCCCGGGGAGTCAGTGAGCAGGAGATGGAGGAGAAACGGGAGCAGGTCAAAGGAAAACGTTTTCTAGATGCGTAAATGAAGAGGAAAGAGAAACAGAAAGAGCAATAAAAGGAACATTCACAAGCATATCAGTGTTCAGAGCACGTGGTTCCATCACAGAGGCACCAACAAATGACAATTTGTGGCTTTAAGCATTTGGCTTCAGATTTAGATTTTGTGTTTAGATTTTGTGTAAACTGAAACATTATCTGGATCTGGGAACACAGCTATACGTTACTAAAAATAGGTGAGACAGAGCAAGGAATGTGCTGTTTGACAAAATTATTTTTGGAAGTAAAAAAAGAAGGATACATATAAAACACTTTTACAATTTACCATCGGATTTGCTGGTTCAACTTTGACCTTAAAGTTAAACCCTGTGCCATCAGGGATTGTTTTAGCCGTTTATGATGTTTCAGGCTTAGCTTTACCTCAAAACAAAGAGGCTTTGATCATCTGCCTAAATGTTAAGCTTTTTACTGCCTGTCTGATCATGTGACCACTCTGGTCCCGTCTGAGTTTAATGTTGTAACGTTGGCGTGTTCCCAGATCTCGGGCAAGCAGATCTTTGCTGAGATTCATTAGCATTCACTGGCATTCACCAATATTCACTCTCCTTTGTGATGTGGGAAATATTTGTCTTCAGAGCAAATGCTACACTTCACCAGCTAGCCGCTCTCATTGTCTTTTTCATGTTCGGTGCATAACGGTGGATTTATCACTGCTTCTCTGCTCTAAACAGCTTTTGTGCTCTCCCAGTGGAAATAATTGTTGACGGGCAACATTTATGAAGCTTTTTCGACAGTGTCCTTGGCTGTTTCAAAAAGTGTATCATCGCTAAATGTCCCAGGGGATCCATTAAACAAGAGTTTCTGAAGAATCTGCAGGCCTACAGGACAGATAGCCATTTGCAAAATTAAACTGTGGCTGTGTGTGCAGCATGGATAGAAAATGCTCCTATATGTCCCCCAGACTTGGAGCTATAGATTGACCATAAATCTCAAGAGGCACTCCCTGAATCCCTATTTATTTGGAAGTCCTTGACTGATATTAACTAGACCCTGGCAATGCAATTACAGAGGCCCTGCCATCCATAGTGGATTCCAGCAGTGCAAGCATGACAGAAATCCACTTATTCCATCTAGTATTGATGTCAATTTACTGTTTCATTACAGCTGGAGCTTAAAGAGCCGCACATGATCACAACTGAATGAGTATCTTATTATGGAACCTTAAAGCAAGTTTAGAACCTCAGTTGATAAATAATGCAACACATTCAATGTGTTATCATGCACAGATGCTCAGCAGACACACATGCACTTACACACACAGTGATAGATTAGGTGTGACGACGCTGCTCGGGTGCATATGTATGAGTTACAGCAGGGAGGATTTCAATGCACGTTGTGGCTGTTAATCACAAATCAGGTTTATTATAGCTTAATATCCAATTAAAAAAATTCTGTATTTCTGGAAAGGATATTTTTCAATTATATCACAACATGTGTTCGGCAGTAAATATGCATCACATGGTTTCTAAATGGCTAAGATGCATTAAGTCATGTTGTTTGACACCACACTGACACATTTTAACACACTGTAGCATCTGTAGGGATCTTTTGGCAAAACATAATGTAATGTCACATGTGTGTATAATCACCTGAAAATAAGAGTTGTTTTTGATATATTTGAATGAGCCATTCCTACCTGCATATGGAGCGTGTCCTCCTCACAGAGCCGGCCGCCATGTTTCTAACCCAGAATTGACCTTTACGTACAACATACACATTATACATGCACATATAGCACTGATCTCTCGTAGCCTCAGCGACCTCATCCTCTCTTATTTGTAGTGCTTTCACACCTGCTAGCCTGAGGTTGAATCCCACCAGCGCTTCCCGAATTCCTGTTCCTCCATCTGCTTTGTGATCTGCTGATTTGCTAGAATTTCCGCTGTGTTAAAACTGTCCCCTCCTTCCCACCCCTCTCTCCCCTCTCTCCCCTCGCTTCCTTCCCCTCAACCCCAAACCTTCGTCATCACAGGTGTAACACCGTCTTAAGCTTGAAGGGGGCAGAATGCCGGAGCAGAGCAACGACTATCGCGTGGTGGTGTTCGGGGCGGGGGGAGTGGGGAAGAGCTCCCTGGTGCTGCGCTTCGTGAAGGGCACCTTCCGGGACACCTACATCCCCACGGTGGAGGACACCTATCGCCAGGTGATCAGCTGCGACAAGAGCGTGTGCACCCTCCAGATCACCGACACCACGGGGAGCCACCAGTTCCCGGCCATGCAACGCCTGTCCATCTCCAAAGGCCACGCCTTCATCCTTGTGTACTCCATCACCAGCAAACAGTCCCTGGAGGAGCTCAAACCCATTTACCAACAGGTGGGAAGTGATGGTGTTTGTGGATTCATGGGTTGATGCATGGTGGTGTGTGCGTGTTGTAGACATCACACCAAATATAACTAAATACAGAATAAGTATTTTACTAAGCTAATTCCTAACGGTTTCCTCTGTTTATAGGTAGTAGCCTTGAAATGTAATACAACAGTTTTTTCTATTCTCCAACTCAACCGTTTGGCCGTTTATGATGTGCTCTCACCAGCAAGGACATAACAAGCCCTCCCCTCATGTTCTCCTTTTCGTCCGCAGGTCTTGGCCATAAAGGGCAACGTTGAGGCCATCCCCATCATGCTCGTGGGCAACAAGAGCGACGAGACCCTGCGGGAGGTGGAGACCAAGGACGGGGAAGCCCAGGCCAACCAGTGGAAGTGCGCCTTCATGGAGACGTCGGCCAAGACCAACCACAACGTAACCGAGCTCTTCCAGGAGCTCCTCAACCTTGACAAGAAGAGGAACATGAGCCTCAACATCGACGGCAAGCGCTCGGGGAAGCAGTCCCGCGCCGAGAGACTGAAGGGCAAATGCAGCGTGATGTAAATCCGGGAGAGGGGAGGTGGAGGTAGAGAAGGTTGGGGGCGAAACAGAGAATAAGCAAGACAAGGGATTGGAGGGACTCACTACATGTCTCAGTCGGAGCAAAGCGTCTGCGAGGCAGCAATGGTCCCATCATCCACATCCTCCTCCGTTCGGCTGGTGCATTCACAAAACACAAATCAGCTGTTATTTTTTTTAAAAAACATACAGGGTCTTAGTTTCAAACCACACATCCATGTGCATCATGCAAGAGGTGAGGAGGGAGCGACACAGAATATTCACATTAAAATCAAGAGGTGCGCGTCGCAGATGAATCAACCTGTGAACATCGGCCACCGAAGGAGGAAGCGCAGCTGTGGACTTTGGCGTCGTCCCAGAAACTTCTGGCCGAGGAGCTCATGGAGAACCCCGGAAACCGGAACGAACACCACAGACTGAAGCCCCCCCCCCCCCCTTGAAAACTGATCCACACGAAACATGTCGTGTCCTCCCTCTTCTACATCCGACCCCCTCCCTCCCTGCTCGGCTCCGTCCTCATTCCAGCACCCTCATCCTTCGCATACACCCCCGTACTACAGGAAACATAGAAAAGCGTGATGTTTATGTAACAGAGCCGACAAAGCCAGTACAGCTCACTCATCTGAAATAAGCACTACTGTGGGAGGCTGAGTTGTCCGCCATGCTAGGAAGCGCAAAACCCACAGGTTTTGAGATTGCTAAATACTGAGACCCAGCTGCATCACAGAGCCACTCCCGAGGACTGTCATGCACATAAACATGGGATACTCCAATATGTTCCATCTAGTCTACACGAGTGGGTGAAGCATTAAAGCAACGTCTTCTCGTTTTTCTCCCTTCAGAAAGATTTTAAAGAAGACCACAATTAGCCGTTATCAAGCCGTCCTCATGTCAAAAACTCATCTGCTAAATGTCCTCATCTTAAGAGGAGAGACATCCCAGCGGCAGGGTGTGGCACATAAGTTACTGATACGGCGCAACAATCCTTTTAAGACTCTCATCTATTGTAGGATAAATCCGGGAAGAAATAAGATGGACTCTCATGAAACCATAGAAATACACGTCTGCCTTGTCTACGAGGAGGATTCACTCGGATAATCATTGCCAGGCTGGTCAGACGGAGGGCAGGATTTTTGCTTCTCAGTTCAAGAATGTCCGTTCGCTCTAGCACTTTTCATGTGAAGGTTTCTCTTCTTTTGCCTTTATTTCTTGCCTGTTTGCTTTATGATGCTCTTTAGTTGTGTTAAGAGTTAAAAAATAAGCCCTCCTTAAACTAAAAGATTTGTGCAGATGATTCAGTTCTAGCTGAATCCCCAAATTCTGTTTCCTATTTGGTTGGTTTGGTTACATTACCTCCCATATGCTCATGTAGGCATCAGCAAGCTGGAAACAGAATGAGTCACACACACATTCACAGCCACAGCATGTGCACAAATGCATTCATGCAAGTGTAAAAAAAGTAAAAGGTCAATTTGAGTCACACTGTTGACTGATTACATGAAGACAAACAGGGCAAAGTCAACATCAATGCCCTCACATTGCACTTTATACCATAAACACAAACAAGTACACACCCAGACACACACATACACACCTGTAATCTGTCATGCGTTTGCCTATGTTGAGTTTCCACATATTACAGAATATTCTCCTGGGGCCTAATGGCTTCACTGTATGTCCAAAGTGCATGAATACAACTGTCCTCACGCAGGAGCTCTGAATATTGTACAGTCTACACGGGACAGCCAAAAGCACAATACTTTTTTACCAACATATCTATTTATACATTTCCTTGTGTTTCTCTTTTTTTTATTTGATCTTTTCCTAGTTTGTTCTCTTTGTGCAATTTTCATCTTCAACGTTTATTCACTAGTCCTGAACATAGGAGAAATAATCTCATGCTTACCGGTAGCTTCTGCGTCTCGGCATAGATGCTTAGTGTTTATTTGTCCGGTACGCGGCACAATGAGGTTGTGGTTCTGCTGCACAACAGGGTACCGTGACGTAGCGGCGAGCTGTGGTTCATAAGTGCGTGCAAACCTCCACAGAACTGTGGGTCGTATGAAGAAGGAGGTGGACGAGCAGGGTTATTATTTGTCTTCTTTTTTCCGTCAACAATTGTGCGTGGAGGATAATCTGCTCCTGTGCAGCGAAACCCATGACACAGATGAAAAAAAAAGAAGCACAGCAGCTGTTTGTCGCCTGTCCGTCTTTGTGTGCAGCAGAATCAACAACTGGGCACTTTAGGGTGACAATTTACATGGAGACTTGCTTATTAATCAGCAATGCCTCATTTAGTATCACCACACAAAATGTCCCTCCTGCATTATTCACGCCCACAGTTATTGTAAATTAAGCATATGGTAGTAGAATGAAATGTCTATAAGAGCTTCAAGTAAGATGTTACCAAAGGAAAACTGTACCCGCTGTCGGCTTGGGAATAAATCCTTTGGAAGCAGGAAAGGTTGTTACAGTCAGAGGTTTCAATGTTGCTACGTGCTGTAATATACAGCTTAATAATGATACTCATGATATATTGTCTTTGACACATCCGATCTTCAAATCTAGCAGATAATACTAGCAAAATGTGAATATGTGACTAAAGGTTCCACCCTGTTTCCTTTTCTTCCCCCATTTTGAAAGCTGAACGAATCCGTCGGTATCGATGTGTTGTATTCTGAGGTCCTCTAAAACTCAAGCATTAGCATCGTAAAGCGCGTCCTTTACGTGTCAGATCCCAGGCACGCTCACTCGTACTCTCGCTTCCTTTTTTATTCAACCATCCATCTGTTTTTTTTAAACAAGTTGTTATTGAAAAGGTTTGTCTTGGTTTGTTTTTAGATGCCAGAAGGATGGAGTGATACCTGCCATGTACCAACCTGATGTGTCCTTCTAGGGGATAAAAATCTAGAAACAAAAGAGCTGTAAGTTATCTGTACATCTATCAGGCAGTGCTGACCCTATCTGGTGTGTAGCTACCGGCAGCGCCGGTGCAAACGCTGCATAAATATGAGCTTGACACGTCCGGTTGCTTCACACAAACGCCAGTCGGCCAGCGCATGTTTGTGCAATCTGTTGTTCTGCTGACGTCTACAGGAGGCTGTCGCTGTTCATGTTCCTGCTCTGAATGAGACACAGCAGAGAGGGAAAAACAATGAGACAACGTGCAAGAGCAGCACGGACAACACGCTCGAGTGAGAGGCTGCATTCAAAAGAAATAGCGTAAAAATGTGGATTGCGTTAACTATCTAGGCTTTGTAATACTCAAGCGTGCTTGCATGTGAGGAGGCGTGCACGGCAAATGTGTGGCCTTCCATCGACCTTCTTGGGCTGTGTGAATTAAACGCTGGCATGAATCAGGACACGCACCTCTGTCCCCCGTGCTCCCTCGGCCTGTCTCATCTCGTCTTTTTAATGATGCACACTCACTGCTGCTGTCTGTGAGTGTGACCATAATCGTACACACGCATGTGCGGAATCAGCTGCTTATTTGCATCCCTTCACCCTGGCCTCCGTGTGTGTGTGTGTGTGTGTGTGTGCGTGCGAATGTTTTGCGTGCTGCCTTCTGTCAGATGTTGGTTGCTTTGCTGTGCAGAAGGCCTACACATTTCTGCATGAGTCGTCCCGCATTGCTTTAACACTCCGGCAAAAATAAACACATACTTACACAGGCATATAAACGGTCATGGAGGCTAAATAGACTGCATGCTCTCAGCTGCACACGCGCATACTTCTACACGCATATTACATTCCATACATTCACACAGGCCATGTCAGTGAAGACAGGTTCTCTCACTGTCACTTTTTCCGCTATGCGTTGTTGTACAGGCACCACTGTCACCACTTCTCCTCCATAAATCAGCTGTCCGCCCCCTGAAATCATGAGTTTCCTTCCTTTTGTTTTTGGTTGTTGTGTAGGTCGGTTGCACTAAAACAGACGGAAGGCCGACCCTGCTCCAATTTTGATTGTAGATAGTTGTAAATAGTGTTCAAAGAGCGTAATATTTCAGAGATGAGAAAGCAGAGTGTGCAGAGGAATGGATGCTTCGGTCAGAATATGCGTTTCCGTCAAAGTGCCCAATTCAAACTAACACAAATCTTAAGAGTTTCCTTCAGAGGAGAGCTACACTTTAACTACAAGTTATGTCCAATTCACCAGCTGTCATGAAGTTGTTTTTTGTAGTGTCCTATGACTTTCTTTGCAAATAGGACAGCTAATTTGCAGAGGCGGTAAGATACGGGAACCCAAAGTGAACAATATTGGATTTATTAAGAAATTAAATTTTGAAATACATGAAACTCTGAAATATTGCAAAGAATGTTTAGAATTCAGCTCATTATTATAACTGTCATAACCTCCTGTTTCTTCGGCCTTTTATATTTTCAGCATTTTTACTACCAAATGTCAAGATCACTTTTTTTCCCCAAAATCTTCAATCAAGACCAACAGGGAGCCACCAGTTATGTGATTGTCTGTCTGCTCATTCAGACCAAAGCAGCAGCCAATCACATAGCTGGAATGAAATCAAACCGCCCTGCAGTTCAATGACGCTATAATGAAAAGAAACAGGTTAACAAAATAATATTCAACAATAATATCATGTTATTATTCATTTTAATCTTTTAAATATTGAACACTTTGGGTCTCCATGGGACTTCACATCGGCAGCTTTTGTCCCAAATTTTGATTGACGTCAGTTGAAGTTCACCTCACCTTGTCTGAGGTAACCTGGTACCTACAGGTCATGTTGCTTAAGAGCCGCCTGGTGCAGAGCAGAGAGGATGTGGTTCACGTGCGTTCCTCCATAGCAGGATGGGAACATGACACTTTGACACCTAAACAAAGGACAGTCCGTGAAATCTAAACAGGCCAGTGGTTTATCGACTTATCTTACATATGCCATCAACTCATCTGTACCAACGAGGGCAGTTTACAGCGCTGTTGAGGGAGAAGACCTGATGAACTCACCGTTGGGGTTCGAGGGGCAAACGGACCCTGTTAACCTCTCCGGCTCACCCCTTTACATCTTGTCTGATCCAATCCTCGCAGGCTGTTTTGGAGAACAAGGGGCGTAACGTTGGGCATTTAGACTCTGTGGGTAATGTAGTTTGGTACTATCCTGTCTCTCTGGCCCTTCATTCCTGCATGGTCCCTATTGGTGTTCCAGCCAGCATGAGAACAAGGACACAAACTGTGAATCATCTTTGTATACTTTAAAAAAAAATCCTCAGCAGCATTTACCGTTTCGGTTTTGCAAATTTTTAATTTCTTTTAAGCACTTATTGTTTTCGGTTAATTATTCTGTTTGTTTACATTTTTTTCTGTTGAAACTTTTTTATTTCTTTAACTTATTATGATGTATAGATATTTATTCTAGCAATAGTCTTCCTGTTAAGATATACTGTGCTGATGCATCCTCTGAATAACAGACACACACACATATATATAGATATATAGACATATATATGTCTATATATATAGATATATATAATAATAATCAAATCTGCAAAATGATTTTCCTAATAAAATGATGAATTGAGGAGTGCGTCTTGTCTTCTTGATCTCGCTGTGCATGAGGACTGTTCCTCAGCTGAGCCAGAGGTTTCATGGCTCTGTCGATAAGCCGGCCCACCACTTTAGTCCAACTATTTGATGGATTGACATGAAATTGCATTCACACATTCATGGTTCCCTGAAGATGAATAGTCCATGAATACTCCCCTGACGACTGACTTCTAATATCACACTTTAGTTTGAATACAATATGATAAGAAATATTTGGTCAGTTGCCACAGACATTTGTGTCCTCATGAGAAACTTTTTTTCTGTCAACATTCAACAATACTTTACCTTCCATTAGTCAATGGAAGCCTCTGTTGTGCTTTGTGTAAAGTGCCATTCAGCGGAAGGATTACAAATTCTCCAAAAAATGTAAAGGCAGCAATACTTCATATAAAATACTCAAATTCAAATGAATATCCTAAATTAAAGGTATTATGTGAAAGTCGAAAAATATTATTGGTAAATGCAAATAGCATAGCATAGCTATACATATATAGGTCATACCACCACTTTATTGGATTAATATGAATAATGTAGTATTTATTGTATTTAGTCATGATAAAGCTGGGTAGAATTATTTTGTAAAAACCCACCGTTATGGTTTAATCTTAATCCATAAACTCATTATGTGTTTTTATGCAACTACTCTCACACACTAGGTATCTGAAGCTGTAGAACGAATGCAGCTACTGAAGCAAAAACTACAATATTTCCTTCTAAACTGTCGTGGAAAAGACAAAGTAGCATGGCATGGAGATAATAATTATTAATTAATTAGGTGCAGCAAAGGGCCTAAACATAATTCTACCTGCTTAGCATCAGCACGTCAGCACAAAGATAAATGGAGAGCGAGTAAAGGATTCACAGACTCCCACTACTCCCTTCACTCTCACTTCTCGCTTAACCCTCCAACATCTGCTTGGGGATGCTCTGCCAGCGCGGTTGCCATGGAGACAGTGTGACGTTGACAACGGCTGTCGCATGAGAGTGTGGTGTGACCCTTGTGGGGACAGAGATGCGTTACGACAGGCAGAGGTCTCCCAGGCTGCTGCTGGAGTGTACAACAGTGCAGTAAAACAACAACAACAAACTGCCCCCCTCCCACCCTCCATCACCCCCAGGGCCAGTGTGGCGAAGCCCCCTGCTTTGGTTCACAAACACATGCAGAGATGTCTGCTTCTGGTCATTTGGGAAAGTCTGTGTATGACAGCCCACAGCAGGCAAGGATGGAATTAAAAAAGATGTGGGTGGGGGAGATCTTTCATTCGTGACTCATGGGCTTCCACCGCTCATTTCTTAGAAAAAGAAAAGGGCCCTGCTGTAATCCGCTGTAACCAAACTGTCTCCTCAATGAGACACCAGAGGGAGGGGGGACGACAGAGGGAATACACAGAGTGGAATCGGAGGAGGATGTGAGACAAATGAAGGCGGGAGAAGGCGAAAGATATGGCTTAAAGGTGAGGAAATGAAGGAGAAATGTTTAGGCATCAGCATCATTTTACACATCAGTGGAAATGAGGCCAATGCAGGGGCTCTGTGTGAGTTATAAATAGCTCTCTTGTGGTCATAATAAATAGCTGAGGTTTCCACAGAGAAGACAGAAGTGTGCCTGCGTGAAAGCAGCTGTATCTAATGTACATCTCCGTCAGAATGACCAGGAAAAAATACACAGATTCAGGGTAAAAAAAGAAGAGTAGGTCCTACTCATTGGACCTTTTGTCCCCCGTCACCGCCGAGGGAATCGTCCACACTCAGCCAGTGATCATGCAGCACTTTTAAACTGCGTGTGGGAGAGAAGACTCACAGCTCGGTGCGGGATGGAAAGCAGTGTTTGTGTGTTTGCGTCGGGCTGCCAGGAATGCTGGAGGCAGGGCCCACATCCCCCCTTCAGCTGGGTGAAGTGCGCCACCGTGCGGCGGAACAGCGCAGAGGCGTCACACGCAGAGGAGGCGTGGCCACGGTGAGGTACCCGACGCAAGACGCACACACGCCAGTGGAAAAACACACATGTTGCAGGTTGGATTTGCGTCATGGAAGAGTTGGGAGACACGACACATTTTAGGCAGAAAAAAAAATCACAGGGCAGTTTATTTTACTGAGTAATAACTAGTACAAAAGTACCATGGGTACAAATAACAGTAATGCAACGTTGTGATCATTTAATGCTCAGATAAAGGAAATCACAGTCTAAGCAAATAATTAGTTTTAATCACATTTTCATTAACGTTGGTTAATTTTTCAAAAAGAAAAGTTTACGAAAGAATAAGAAACATATTATTAAGCTTTAACATCGTCAGAACATGTTTCTTAGTGCATTTAGGATGTGCTTATGACCAGTAATAGTCAGAAGAACAATGCGTATGGCAATATATTGGTGACATGTGGTGTTCGAAATACGCATGGAAAGTATTTCAAATGGTTACAATGTATGAGGGTGTATATATATTTTGGGCCACTCACTATACAGAATATCAGACAAGGCTCGTTTAAAAGCTGTTTTTATTGAATTACATATGCTACTAAAATAGTCACCTTGATTCTAGTAATATTTTTTATTATTTGCATATAATCTGAGCTATCATTATGAAAAAAGAATGTAGTTACGGATATAATAGCCAATACACAGAGCAGGCAGAGAAAGAGAAATAAATGTTGAATGGGCATTCTTATTTATGGAAGTGTTACCTTATCCATTCTAACAAATGTACACCGCTGTAAAGCCTTGGGACCTGAGGGACAAGGCGCCATCCAACAAAAATAAATAATACATATTAATATTATTCCATATCCCTCCGTGTTTTCTAAATACAATGGAGGGATCTGTGTGAATGCTCGTGTCTGGGAGCCCCGTGGTCTAAAGGTGCTGTAACCGGATTGTTTGGAGTGAGGAAGAAGGAGAGAAGGAGGGAAGGAGGAAGGGAGGAGGAGGAGGAGGAGGAGGAGGAAGGGGCTACAGAGGAGTGGACAGACAGTGGGAGCGGAGGGGGAGGCGTTTGGCTCGGCGAAGACGGGGAGTGAACGAGCGGAGAGAGTGTGAGAAACCTGCGGATCTGGCCCTTTAAATCTCCAATACAGCGCATTCGGAGGTGAGTTTGGACTTATTCGGGTATTTTTCTCCCCGCGTATAATCATTGTAACCCGTCCGTGCGCCTCCGTAAACCTGGCTGCACGTCACCGAGGGCGCCTGCAGCGGAGAGGGGCTTCATCCGTGTCACGAATCCGGTTTTTCCCAGCCCTTTGCCGGCTCGAGAGGGCGGGGAGGACCGGGGGAAAAGGGTCAGTGGAAGATTTCCCACAGCTCGGCTGGACTCGGCAGGACGCAACAAGCCACAGTGTACCCTAATAAAACCCCTCTGGATGTCCGTGCCCCGTAGGAGGCCGTGCGCCGATCAATCTGCATAATAGCGGGACATAACGGCACGCGCTGCCCTCTCGCGCCCGCTGTCGCTGGATGGCTTCATGTCGGCTGCCGGAGCTCCAGACATGTCACCACCCCGCTCCCACGGCTAACCACCACGGCCTGTTTGCAGACCCGAAGAGTCCCAGTCTGTTGTTCACTTGTGCAAATAGCGCCGCTTTTCATATGTACACACAAGGTCCGCCTGTGCTTGCGCGCGCCGTGCGTATGCGCGTGTTTGTACGCGCGCGTGTGGAGCGTGGATAGCCATGGGAGAGAGGCAGAGAGGGAGAGAGAGAGAGAGGGGGGGGAGAGAGATAGGACATGCTGTCCTATCCATCAAAATGCCCGCATTGTGTTTTCACACGGCGGAGCAGCAAGCGGGGCCTGTAGCGGAGGACGCGAGGCCCGGTGGGCGCGCACGAGCCGCTCGGATCGATATGGATCGGTGCCGGGGTTTTTTTGCGCGTCTTGAGAGCGGCTGTGTGCACGCAGGCTCGCTGGCTGACCGCGGCCTGTCCAGTCACCGGTGATGTGTTCGCCCCGGGCCAGAGACAAATGAGCTGCATCCTGTGCGTGTGCGTGTGTGAGTGTGTGTGTGCGTGTGTGTGTGTGTGTGTGTGTGTGTGCGTGTGTGTGTGTGTGTGTGTGCGTGCGTGCGTGCGTGCGTTAGACCTCTGTTCACCGTTTTTGTAAGAAGCTGTTGTCAATATGTGTGAGGGGCAGGGGGTGTTTTTGGTGCTGGTTTGAAGTGCACAGCCTCCTACAGCAAGGACGGAACCCAGCAGAAAGTTTGTAAAATCAACAGATGCAGAAACTCTGTTGTGTCACTGAAAAAGTCATTTAGGCTGCTTCTGTCCCTGTTTGTTGCTTCCTCATTGGAGAAACTATGAAAACGTACGTGTTGTAGCACCTGAATGTCCACTCTCAAAAACAGAATGGATGCATTTTTTGAAAGGTACCGAAAACAAAACGTGAGGCATTTTTCAACGTTTTCTCACACTGAGTGTCTTCTGTCACATGTCGGGAAACCGTATGATACGGCTCCTTTAACCAGCTTGCAGTTTTCACGTTTGCTGTGACTGGTGTTCCTCGAACTGAGGTAGTTGCTTTAGGCTGTTGAGTTAGTAATGTTTACTTGGCCTATTGGTGCTGTAAGTTGCAGTTTATTAACACACATCCCCCTTCTTGTTGAGGACAAACATCAGGAGTTAAACAATTAGATTCTTGGGTTGAAAGAATAGTTTTCATAGTTAACGTTGGGGTTACATGCAGGTCAGAGGTGTGTATGAGAGAACAAATACACAGAAAACAAACCCTCCAAAATCAGAGCATTTGGCCTACAAGGGTCCAGTTGGGATTAGGATCTGGGCTCAGGCTTAATGCCAGGATTAGCATTTAGAATTAGGGTTAGTTTGTGAGACAATCAGTGAATGTCAGAAGTATGATAAAACAAATGTGCATGTCGAGACAGAGAGAGAATTGTATCAGGTGTTTGTAATGAAACAAATCTATTAACTCTCTGTCTCTCTCTCTCTCTCTCAAACACACAAACACACACACACACACACACACACACACACACACACACACACACACACACACACACACACACACACACACACACACAAGGACACACAAGCCTTAATTACAGACATGAGTCTCTGAGCTACTCTGCAGTAAGTGTAATTAAAGCAGGACTCTCCTCTCTGGAGAGAAGGCGTCAGACGGAGTCACAAAGTCGTAACACACTCCTCCGGATGCACGTGAGGAGCGAGGTTCTGATCACATGGGCTGTTGGGGGAACTTCTGCGCTGTGCTAAAAGACAAAAAACAATACAACTGGAGGTTTAAGGATGTATTTGAATCAACCTTTGACAGCACAGGTATGAAAGGCCTCTTTTATTCAGCAGGGTCTTACCACCAAAGTGACATTCTGATTTTATTAATCCTGAAGTTGATGATGGGATGGTTCCAGATTTTTCAAACTCAGAACATCTTTTTCTTATTTTTTTAAAGTAATATCTGTTTTACCTGTTCCGTTTTTTTATTTTTTTTTACAGAGCCAAGCCAATGTGAGCTCAGCCTCAGTCCAGCTCTGTCGTCTTGACTTGGCAAGCTTCTTCCCGGCCGTGCCTGCACCATTGCCATCTCCATCCGGTGACGTGTGCGGTCAGAGCGAGTCCGGTCTGCTTACCATCAGTCAGGTGACAATCTGTAATTCCCGCTGTGCTAAAAGCTTAAAGAATGTTGTAAGAAGGCCTAACATATTTATTCAGCACATTACGGTTGTTAAGTCTAAGTGGAGCATTAGTCACACAATGCATATCATCTCCCATAAACTGTATTTTGATCAGGAAACTGGCAGATTTAAATCATTAATAGTGTCGCACCACCATGAAGTCCCCTCAAAGTGGTGCTATAACTCCACAGCTATTCCCAACTTAAAGAGCAATTCAGCTCACAAATCAGTGTAGCATAAAAGCAATGTTCATAAGCAGCAGGAAACCCCAGAACTAAATAAATAATCATTTCATATATAATATATTATACAGAATATTCAGAAATATACCCTTTTTTTACACTTAAAAACAAATAAAATAATTAAAAAACTACAGAAGGCATTGAGTTGATGCAGTAATGTCTATGCAGCATTTTAATGTGAGTCAGTAGTTGATCAACCTCAAATATTTTATGGGCAGTTTTATCTGCAAAGCTAATACTAACTGTCAGGCAAATTACGTTGACTAAAAAGTACAATATTTGCATTTGCCATGGAGTATAATCGAAGTAAAAAGGGACATAACATTTAAACAGTTAAGATCATGATGAAGCACAGCGTCATGACAAGTATGTAGTTACACCGTTGCTATCAACGATCAACAACTAGGCTACAACAAATGTACCTTTTTATGGATTGGAAGACATATTCACAACACATTTGCTTTGCTTAAATTATAAATATCCAAGCCAATTATCTCAACCAGCCATGCCTGGTTATCCGCCAGACAGATATAGAAACATATTGGAAGAATCTCATTGTCTACACGGAAAAACCGTAACCTTAAGTAGCTGACGTGATTTAGCATCATGGCTGAAATCCACAGCAAGCGTTTTGTTACTCTCTCTTTCTCTTGCGTACAGTTTTCTCCTGTGTTGGTGTATTCTGATGGATCAGTATGTCCACCACTAATAACATCGCACAGGCCAGGAAACTGGTGGAACAGCTGAGGATTGAGGCGGGGATCGAACGCATTAAGGTAGGACCGCACTTCACTGCTGGGTTTTGTTGTGAGCAGGATTATTCATGTACATCTGACCTTTCCTCCCCTTACACTTTCCTCTTTCTTTTCCTTCCTGCTTTTTTCTCTTTTCCACCTATTGTCCCCTGAAAGGTTTCTAAAGCAGCAGCCGAACTGATGAGTTACTGTGAGCAACACGCTCGTAGCGACCCTCTGCTGGTCGGGGTCCCCACGTCTGAAAACCCTTTCAAGGACAAGAAGCCCTGCATCATCCTATAGCCGCACTACGCTCCCTCCACCCCACGAAAACACACATTAAACATACAGACACGCGGTAAATGCACCTATTCAATACTTTATTTGATCCCCGGACACAACACACATGCAATGAACACACATGAAATTTCGCATTCAAACACACTCATGGAAACGCACACACTCCCGAAGCAGCCTCTCTGGAAATGCGCCATAGCCAAGGAGCAGGTATCTCGTTCTCTCGGTGGGAGAAATCAGTATATCACTGAGTACGATCCAAGGTGCTTTTGGTAATATTCACGTAGTGTCAGCTTAACTTTAAAGAAGGGATTTGGACATTAATAATCAGTAGAAAACCAGGATATTTCTCCTCCTTTGTCGTGAAAGTGAGGGGTTAGGAGGAGTGGGAGGATGCATGTGGTCAACAGAAATGAGCGGTAGGCCAAATACGACCCGGTGTCCCATTAAAAGCTAAAAAAGTTTAAAAAAAAGAGAGCTTTGCCCTCAGACCTGCCGGTGCAGGCTCATTTTGGAGTGAGTGGCTAAAGCCTTTGCCTTTATCGGGCTAGCATGTTCCCTCCCGTACCTGTTTAAACAGACCTTCTCCGCCTGTGGCCTCGCTGAGGCCTCTGGCCAAACCTCCAGCTGTGCCAACGTGTGCAGGAAGTCATCTCGAGATGCTGATCTGCTGTCACTGATTCCACTTCAGTTCATTATGGCTGCTGTTGGTTGAAATCGATGTCTAAGCTGACCTCAGATCTGCACCTTCGAGGGGAACAACTGCTTTACACAGAACTCAAGCTACTAACCCTGGACGTTTACTGCATTTTTATTAAGAAATACCTGTTTGTGAACTCAATGTGCATTTGGATATTTTGTTGAAGCATTACTTAACAAATACGGTTATACCTATGCTTTGACATAGGTATTGCCCCTGGTTCATCAGATTTCTCTTTAAACGCTATCATTAATGAGACAACAGGAGATCTGGTTTGTAAGCCACGGGTACCATCTGCTTGCATCTTAAACTAAAACGTTCAACCCGAGAATCAGTCTGCGAGGACTGCAGAGCTGGAGGAGAAAACCTAAAAAGTAAAAGTTTTCCCAAAAATCTAAAATCAATCCTTGCTATTGTCTTATTTTCTCTGCTTAGGTGTGTTTAATTTCATTGGCCTTTTTTCCAAGGTTCTGGGAAGAGACACGTTGCTTTGGATTGTGTAAAGGTGTTTTTTTTTCATAGTAGAAGAAAGGAATTCCGCTTCTCTTCTCTTTGCACAATAATTACCTTGCTTTAAATCCAAATTGACAAAAAAATGACTTGGCTTTACCAGTCTCCCCAGTAGGTGAGCTTGCTTCAATCTGAGGTCCAACTGGTCAGGCGGCCAGCGGTCCCCTCCTGGTTTTCCCCTGTACCCTCCTCCACAATGCTCCTCCTCTCGGCCGAACCGAACCGAACCTTGTAAAAGCTGAAGACGAAGGCAAAGAAAAATGAAGTCAAAAGAAACATACTAAATGTATAAACTTTCTTTCAGACATGTGCAGAAGTGAAGAGTAGCTGTTATGGGTTTATTTATTTCTTCTTTCTATGGAGTCCATGGAACCTGGTCAGTTGTGTATTACCCTGTACAGTGTTTGTAAGATACAAAATCTAAACACAGACTCCCCTACTGTGGATGTTGGATTTTTTTTTTTTAGTACTACTTGTTCTGTTCTGTCAGTCAAGATCATGTCTTTGGTTTCTTTCATTTTTCTTTGTGTCATTCAGGTTGAGAGAGGCTTGCGATAGCAAAGGATGGTTTTGAGCACCACTACAAATACAAACAGTTGATAGAATCAAAATCCCTGTTAGGTGACGTGAGGCTTCCTGAGGATTAATCAATCACCGGACCTCATTCAAGTGGCAAAACCCAGCTTCCTTTATCAAGTGTTGGTTTTGGTGGGCGACGGGCATCTTCTACGACACACCCGGGCGCGTTACACACTCTATCGTGCTCTTGTTTTTGAGGTTTGGTCGTCAGGGGTCAAAAGTTAGAGGAGTAGCAAAGCTGCTTTTGACGGTTTATTGCTGAAAGTAGGGATCTTTGTGCCATCACATTATGTCTGCGCATTTAGCCGAGGCTTTTGTCAGGCGTGACGTGCAGTGACAAGCAGGGTGGAGGGATTTGGACGGGCTTACAGCTGCTGAGTGACTGTCCGGGGAGTTGAACCCACTGTTTTTCTGGTCTCCAATCCCTGCGTTAATATGAGCCAAGTGCTGCATTTACTTTTGGGAGATGTAACTTTATTCTCTGTGTTGAGCCGTTGTTTGTGTGTGCACACAGTTCAAAAAGGCTTGTTGAAAATACCTGTATTACGCAAGTTAACGGTGTCTTTAGCAGGAAAAGTGGTCATTTCAATACTGAGATTGACTTTTTCAGCTTTTCTATGAGAAAAGGAAAAATCTTAAAATGAGGCGACCTTGACCAGTTTGTCGACTTGTCTTTTAATGGAATAGTTGGACTTTTTGTGGAGGATCCTTGCCGGGAATATCATAGAAATATTGATGCCCAACCCATGTTTGTATGGTAATGTAAAGCTACAGCCAGCACCTGGTTAGGTTGGCTAAGCTTAGTATAATGACTGGAAACAGCCAGCAATCCAAGAGTAAACACCTTTAGGGAAACCAGTTAACCACATTATAGTTCATAACATTAATCTGAATGAAAAGATATGTGTAAAACATATTTTTTTGTGTTGAGCTTTAGGGTGCAGGCGTTACCTTTGGCCAATGCCTAACTTTATATTTACCCACTTCTTGTCTTTATGCCCAATTTCTAATTAGCATCAATGTTTCCACTGTGGGCAATGATTCTTGGAAAAATGCCACAGAGGGAGCCGAGTGAGAATGTGTGTTTGTGTGTGTGTTCTCGTGTGTGTGCGGAGAAGGGTGCTGGGTGCTAATGTCTGGCGGCTGAGAGGGATGATTTGGCAGAGCAGCAGACGGAGAAAAGAACATAGAGGTGCACGCAATTGTTAGTGGGTATTAGTGGCAGAGTCCCGGTGTGTAAGAACACTCCGTGCCTCCAGCACTCAGCAGAGTGTCAAACAATAACGTTACAGTACTGCAGCCCCGACAGTCCAGGTCAGGGTAACTGTGACCGGAGGAGAGGTCATGTGACGCCGCCTGACTCAGATCATCACGCATGTCGTCCATTTTATTTTTTTATTTGTAAGATGGTCATTTAGGAGAGGAGTAAAGACGGATTCAGTCACAAGATAAAATTGTGTGTTAAAGTGTCATGACCAATAATAATCCCAAACAACCCACAAAGCTCACAAGTAATATATTCAATATTCATTTGTCTTTGCCTGATTAAGCTACATTATATTAGCTGCAACATTTTCACCCCTCATGAATGCATAAAAGACCTAAAGCAATAGTTTGACATTTTAGGAAAAGTGCTAATTTGCTTCGCATAGAGTTAGATGAGAGGATTGATCCCAGTTAGCTTAGCTTAGCTTAAGGACTGGAAACAGGGGCAAACAGATGGCATGGCTCTCTCAAAAGTGAATTGACCTCTAAAGCTCACTAAGGGTCAGATTATATTGAGTATGGTAACAGGAGGCGCTGGTTGTTATGCTGAGCTAATATAACCAGCTACTGCTTGTTGCTTCACATTTATCAAACCAACAATAAAGGGGTTCGATCCTTCCATCAAACGTTAAGCAATTCAACCATCAAATGTATTTTCCAAAATGTCAAACTGCTCCTTTTAAATTAAATATATACCCTTTATCTTCAACTTTGTTTAATTAAAAATGAATAGTGATCTTTCATCTGAAGAAATATAATTACTGTGCAAAGAGAGATCAAAGTTTGGGCACAGGTTGAAATGAACCCAGAATTACATAATGTTTGCTTTCCCGCAGAATCTGCAAAATTCGAAAACTTTGCAATGTGCAGTTAAAGTCAAAGAGGAAAACAACTTCAAAGGAATTGCACCAACAAACACCCATGCATATCGACGCACACATAAACACACCCACTCTGACGTTGTCCCAGAGATCATCATTATCATTGCAGTCATTCCAATCATTCCATAGCTGGTTGGGCTTGAAATCAGAGACAGCCAGCCTAAACTTCTGGTTTGGTTGAGTGTTTGTGTGATGGGTTGGTTGTTAGTTTGCCTTATAGTGGCGTATTTGGAGTTCACGCAGGTATCGGATCAGCACAATGAAACAGTGTTGACGTGGGCTCGAGAAAGAAATCCACTGGTGAAATTAATTTCAGGTCGGGTGTGATGGAGGCGGGGGGGGGACTTTGAAATGAAACATCACTGAATTGGATAAAGAGAGACTCATCCCTTGTGTTCTGCTCTCCTGTGTATGCATATAGTATATGTATCTTTTTGCCTTGATTGATTATGAAGAAAAATATATCTATTTTTTGTAACTGTTCTCTGATGTGCCATAACTCATGTTTTATTGGACACTGTTAATATTTTGTCGATATTGCTGTTAAAAAGATGATATTGAAAAGTAGATAACATTAATAAAAAGATGATATAATAACCCGCTCTTGTGTAATGGTTATGCCTTCGCAACATTATACTGTCGGTTTGTCTTTGTTCGTCCATCCGTCTCATTCTCAGGCACACAACTTCTCCCCAACATTTCCTTCAAATTTGACACAAAGGTTGACTTGGACTCAAGTTGACCTTCGATAGATTTAGTTGGTCAAAGGTCCAGGTCACTATGACCTTTTATCCATCCCAAGTTTTGCACAAATGTCGACACGGTCGACGAACAAAGTCTGTGTGACGTCTGTGTTTTCTGCCACTTCGGTTTTAGCAAATGGAATATATCGAAGTTATATAAGTTTCCAGAAAAAGAAAACACTTTTTAAATTAGCGCTGTTGAAAAGTTGCAAACTGTGACATGACATGAATGCAACGTAGATGTGACGCACACGATCCCTCGGTGCGTAGGGTGCAAGATGAATGTACCTTCTGCATCAAAGACAAAACAAAGAACAGCACGAACTGCCTGGTAAAGCCTTGGGAAAGCTGACATGACTGTAATTGTTCCATGTCCCCCGGCTGTTTTTGGGCCACAGTCCTCCTTCAACAGCCAAGGCTGCCACACGAGTTTCAAAACACAGCTGAGGCCTCCCGTCCTCCGTCCTCCCAGCAAGTCCAAGCCAATCAGATTCAGGGGGATGAACTAGAGACAATGGAGCAAGTCCCAATACCAGCCACACCCTCGTCCAGCTGATGTGAGGCCCATGTGCCTGAATGTTCCCCCTCTTATGTTATGCGTGAGAGGAGGTGAACAGACATGTGAGGGCAGAGGGGAGGAACAACACGCTGTTGCAGTTGCATCACGTTGAGATACCGTGGAACGGGTGGGGTTGAGGTTCAAGTGCACTCACAGGTTTGCGTCATTGCGGGATGTTCAACATGTACACAAACACGATGCAAAGGGCTTGGGATGTTTAATTCTACATTTAAGCAGACAACTTGTTCTGTTGAGATCCCTCCTACCAGTGGATTCTTGACTAGGAGCAGTGGAATGGGAAGTTTGCTTTCTCCATTACTTCAATTCGAATGCTAACTGTATTTGGGCAACTCAGCCATTTTAAAATGTTGTGACCAAAGCAGCACCCTTATCATAGTGACGCTCACTTTGTTGTTTTCTTGCATTAAGACAACAATTTACAGATATTTTCAATCAATGCAGACACAGTTCATTATTCAGACCACCATGTAGTATTTGCCGACATTAACCAAATGTGCATTGACTTTTTTGTGGTCCGGTGTGACTTAAACATAATTTCCATTTCAGTTTCCATGGCGACAATTCCTGCGCATATTCAGCTGCTCATTTCAAAAAGGCACACGCTCAGTCATTTCTAAAGAAAAAGTTGGGTGTTGTAAAAGCATACCACAAATTCACACAGCCCTTTTCTACAAAAACTTTCCAAGACAGGCTGTGCTTAGTTTCGTTTACAGCATTCCGGTCCCTCTTGACACACACTTCCAGGTAAAAATGTGTAGGCGGACAGGTTTCCTCCTGTTTTTGATTTGTTTTACTGACAATGTAAAAGCAATGTGGCCTGGAAGTGAATCTGCTCTTCTGTTGGCATCTCCTGCAAAAAGCAGATTTTGTAGACCTGTCTCCAATCTGGCTTTTGCAATATTTGCTGAAAGGAAGTACTTGATTCCTGCTTATCAATCAGGATAGCCTGTTCCAGTCCCCTGCGGGACATCCCTGCATGAGCAACACAGGATCCCTCAGTTCATTAGCCTGTGGACCCAGAAAGTTCCAGTCTTCATTGATGTGTGCGGGGGCCACACCCTTCAGCGTTCTTGCAAAACCAGTTCAGGGACCCACTGGTCAAGACGCAGACTCTCCTGGCAGTAGGTCCCCACCTCTTGCAGCCGGCGGTGGTCAGCCTCGGGGTTCTAGACAGGACACAAAGAAAACATAAAAATCGGCCTGTAAGGCAAATGTGTTCTGCAGAATGCAATGTATGAGATGAATCGCTAAATGATCCTAAAATTGCAACATTTCAGCTACTGCACTTCACGACAACAGCCCGCACTCATATATTCCTGATTCATCATTTTGGCCCGCCCGTAACATGACACACGGCTGCTGTTCTGTCTCAACATACCGTAACCAGCATGCAGTGGAGGTCTCCGTGCTCTGCCGGGTTTCTGTTGGCATCCACAGCACCCAACAGCTGCCGGAGCCGCTGAACGCCGCAGACCCGCAGGATGGTAATGCCGCTGTCGCAGCAGAAGGACTGCAGCAGGGTGAAGTGGATCTGCAGCGCCACATCGTCTGCATCATCAGCTGCCAGAACACACAGGACCACACTGTCCGAGTCTCTGGGGAGGAAGGAGAAAACAAGAAAGTTGTTTAAGGCACACACTCAAATACACAATACTCTGATTTATTTTAGAGAAGCATCAGCTTGTATGTTTTAACGTTACAGGCATTTGCTAAGTTTATTTTCAACTCACGCATTAAGAAGTTTAGCTGATTCATAAATGCCAACGGTCAGGCAGTGTTGTTTCTGAGCCGTCACCAGCAACTCCTCCAGAGCCAGACCTACAGACTGCGTCCTGAGAGGAGGAGACAATTCACACTTTGTAAACTGCAAATAAATAAAAAAGACATGACGCCCGGGTCATGTCACTTGCTGCAGTTATTTGACAACTGGATTTACATTTTTTGTTTTAACATATTTAATAAATGCTGTTCAAAAACGTTTATCCAAGAGGAACTTAGGAGCCGGATGAGGGTTCAGCAGTTGCAAATAAAGAGGCATTTGTCTGCATGCAGGCTGTGCAGAATGCATGCTCAGGAAGCGTATTGCACAAGCAAGAGTTTATGACTTTTTAAAATAAAGATTATGGAACAACTCAAAACCACATCTTTAAAAACCAGCAACTCACCTGTTCTGGGTGGACACAAAGCTCTGCTCTGGAATCATGTTCTAAGTCAAAGATGTGACAGCAGTTCCACTGATCCCTCAGTGCGTGCGTGCACGAGCGTTGGCGGGGTGTGTTGTTGTCCACGGCGCGTCACATCTCTTTATACCGGGGACGAGCTGAGGGCGGAACCGAAACCAGCCCGGTCACTTCTGCACCACGAACCAAAGAAACCCGACGGCTCCCCTTGTCGCGTGTGTTGTTTGTTTGGCAACGCCGAGCGAGTTGTGCACGATGCAGTTGTGCAACATGAGCCCCTCTTCTTTTCATAACATGGAAGTTCCTATTAGTGGACGGATGACTGACATCTGGTGGGTGAATGAGGGAAAGGAAAATCCCACTAACCTTTCTTCTTGTAAAACTGAGAGTTTGGTGTCACTTGTAGGTTTTCAGTAAGATATTTATCATTTTATTTTGAGGAGATTAAATGCCTTTTTGAATAATAAACAATAAACTCCTGTCTTCTGATTGTATATTCTAAACGGACATGAATTAATGGTAACATACGAACAAATATGTGTAGATAAATTAACAATGAGTGGCAGTGGCAGTGGCAGTAGAGACAGTTAAAAGCCTTACATACCCAAAACAGTTGACACGTTAACTGAAGGATAGTTTTTAAAGATCTTCTTCTCTCATCGCTCATTCTCACAACATTCTCGCGCAATAATCCGCGCGAACTGCGGAGAGGGGATGCGCAGGACGTCCCTCTGGAGAGGGACAGAAGAGGTGGCAGCTCGTGACGTGGATTCATCACCTGATCTAAACTCAATGTATCTTACATCTGATCTACACTGCCATCTTGCGAATGAAAGTAAAATAACTACAACCAAGTCAAAGTGGCCTATTAACTTGATCAAATACGCACAATACTGTTTTGTTTTGCCATGTTTTTCTTGTTCAGCAAATTGTCAATACTACTAATACTTACAAATACATAAGCAAATAATTGATGAATATATTTTCAACTAATTTTAGTGTTTTATACGTAAAATAACTATGAAGTTATGAGTTCATATCCATGTGAAAACCACAGTATTTCAAAATCAAATAGTAGTAAAAGTTTTACTGCAAGTGGAAAATATTCGAGGGAAGCAGATCAAATATACTCTATTACTGGTAATGCTTGAGCAAAGTCCATCATCTGAATACCTTTAATCTGATGCTGTTCTCGGGAAACAAACACAAATCATTCAAATACATGAAAGAAAAAGAAGCCCAGCATGTTTTAAGAGGTTCCTGTCGTGTTGACTGACAGATGTAGTCACATATAAACCTTCTCAGTTCCCTGGAGGATCATCTGACGATGCAAAGCCTCCTCTCTAAGGAAATGATTTCACTGCTGTCCAAAGAGTGAGGGCAACGTGGGACACCAAGCCAAGGAATACTGCTCGCTTCAACACGATGGTCTTAATAGAATAGATGAAACAGTTATATCAGAAGATGAAGATTTAAGGACATTTGTGTTCACTTTGGTCGGTATGATGTGTGTGTTTGTCTGCCTTTCATTTTCTTACAGAGTTAACTGTGAATGAATAGCATATTGAAATTCTGCTCAGCATGACTGTTGAATATCAGTATTAATATTGTTTATTAATTCATTTTACGAATTATCATATAAAACTGTGAAAAACTGACTTTGTTACAAAGAGATCATGATCGTTTCTTCATCCAGTTCTGAAAGGAAAAGATAAAATAAATTTGTTTAATTTAAATTACTTTTTTTATTCTATATCAGCACAGAAACGCTTTATTTTTAAGAAAGCAGACTTTGTTTCAAACAGTATTGAATTTTTCAGCGGATAGATGCTTGTTGGCGGAGCAGGAGGTTTTTGTACAGCCACTCAATGGGTTTGTGTCACTGTGGCTCACGTTTGGTGGAGGAACAAAACTCGTCATTGACCGTAAGTACCACTTATTCTTATTTTATTACAAATACAGAAAATGTAACTTGAAACTCTGATCAGTATCAGTGTTTGTAGGTTGTTCATTATATTTTAATAATTTCATCAATCTGAACTTACAAACTGAGAACGATTCAGACATCTAAAGTGAATCAGTCTTGTGTGTCATTTCATTTTAAAGAGGATAAATAACTATATTTCTGTACATTATTTTCTCTTTCTCATAAAACCTTTTTCTTTGACTGTTTTAAAAAAGTTTGATCGAACAAGACTTTTTGTTCTAAAAATATTTAAATAATATTAGAAAATATTAAATGTTTTCATGATTTAAGATGTGATGTGGATTTTTTGTCCAACAAAGATATGATTTTATCAGTAAATGCAGCTTATCTTTGTGTTCACAGTTCATTGATTTTACGTTAGTGAAAAGGAAGTGAAAGAGACAGATGACAAAGGTTTTAGTTGTATTTGTGCTTTTAAACAGTCAGTTATAACGGAAAAAAATCACAATTTATCCACTAGAAAACCTACATGATTGATTGTTATTGAAAATCATTTTTAGTAACATTTACACTTGAATCATGTGGCCGGTGGTCTGATACAGAGTGATTTAAGACTGCAACTGGAACGTAACCTATTCTGTTTTATTAAATTAAATATAAGAAATCAACAGGAAGTTATTTTTTGTTTCATTTTAAAATGTATTTTCTATCACCCCCCTCTCTCTCCTCCAGTGGGTGTGGTGCGGCCCACCCTGACCGTCCTCCCCCCCTCCACAGAGGAGCTGCAGCAGGGCGCAGCCACACTGGTGTGTCTGGCCAGCGGCGGCTTCCCCTCAGCCTGGAGTCTGAGCTGGAAGCTGGGGGGCAGCAGCTCCTCCTCAGGGGTGTCACACAGCCAGGAGTTCCTGGGGAGGGACGGCCGCTACAGCTGGAGCAGCACCCTGAGCCTCACTGCAGACCAGTGGAGGAAGGCGGGCTCAGTGAGCTGTGAGGCGGGTCTGGATGGACAGAGCCCTGTCACTCAAACCCTGGACCCTGACCGCTGCTCCGAGTAGAGCTTCAGCAACACGTCCTGTGTGGAAATGATGCAGCTTCTTTGGTGGATTTCATAGCTACAGATCTCCTCTGTTTCTCAGCTCTCAGAGTCTGTTACTTTCTGATATTCTTCTTTTTGTTCATTACTTTAGAAATTAAACTGAATTAAAGATTGTTTTTCCATCCATCATCATTTGGTGATTCATCAAAAATGTGACGTTTTGATAAAACTATGAATAAAAAAGTGGATTATAGTTATTCAGTGTCTGTGTATCCATTTTAACACATTTTGATATATTCTAAGGAATGAAATATATATTTTGTTTCTGTTTGGAATGTTTTACAAGCAGCCATCATTAGAGCTACAATTGAGAAGATTTTCTTTATATATACATTAGAAGTTATGGTCCAACAAGAAACTAACCTCCCCTAATAATTCATAGAGAGACTGACTGAACTTTCAAGAATAAACATTTAATTTTAGTTCATATATAAGAGTGTCTGTGAGTGTGCTTCTGTTTTATTTAGATTCATTGTGGTTCTGCTTGATGACTCTCGTGTTGAGTTCACTGGACCATGTTTTCCTCACCACAGTCTCTCCACCAACCCTCTGCACCTGCAGCAGGCCGATTTCACTGCTATCAAAGTGAAGGAGGTTTTTGTACGGCTCTAAATCACTGTGTGAACACTCCACCTGTATGGTAACCAAGACAGTAGTAATCGCCAACATCTTCAGCCTCAACACCACTGATGGTTAAAGTGTAGTCAGAACCAGAACGACTGCCACTGAATCGAGGAGGAGTTCCAGAGAAGCGAGTTGATGAGTCGTAAATGAGAAGTTTTGGAGCCTGTCCAGGTTTCTGAAGGTACCAACTGAGATCAGGACCGATATCTGAACTCCCCTTGGCGCTGATGGTCACAGTCCCTCTGAGACCGACGGCCTTGGAAGGGTCTGTCTGAGTCAGGAATTTGTTTGCAGAAGTGTCTGAAATAAGAAATGAAATATAAACATTGATAAGAAATGACACATGTCTCACAATAAAGAGCAGCGGTTTAAATTATAATAGTAACAAGACAAAAACATCTGTCAGATAGTTTTCAAAGTCTCTCACCGTGGCACAGAACAGCCAACAAGAGGATTATTGACCACATCATCCTGGTGCAGTTTTCAGTGTGCGTTCATGAAAACTGTTACGACTTTCTGTGTCAAGAGAACTTAAAACAGTGAGGAGCAGTGAGGCATTGAAATCATGCAAAATGAGGTTTCAAAGGCAAACACACAGCTGCCCTTGTGAAACTGAAAAGGCCGAGATGAGGCGGAGTGACAGTTCATCCTCAAGAGTGGAGTCAAAACCTCTGTGTCGGTTCCCTTGTTTGCTAACGCTCTTTCCATTTTAACTACTTTTAAATTCTTTAACATGTGAAGCCTCCCTTTCCTGGTTCTCCAACTGCATGGACACCAAAACAGAAGTCATTTCCAACTTAGTGGCAGTATACATGATTGAACATCTGTAAAGGGGACAAAACCTGAATGTCAGAGACATGAACATCTAAGTTTCACTCTGCATTTGACTGGAGGTGGATTTCAGTGAGTGTTGTACGGTTGTGCTTTGGGTGACTGTGCTGATCTTCAGGTGAGCAGTGGTGCACATCAGAGTCTCCTGCAACAGGGCGAAGCTTCACCAAAGCAACACGTGTGCAGTCTCACTTGAAAGAGTCTTTTTTGTTTGACTCTGCAGGTGGGAGGCTGTTCTGGTTTCTGCAGGTACTGAGATCATCGTTCACCCTCTCTACTACACCAGAGAGTTAATGAGCGGTTGCACGTTGATCTGTCTACTGTGTGTAATATATCATATAAAGAACAGTTGAAACTTAAATCCATTTTAATGTTTGTCAGTTGCTGTAGAGAGAAACATTCAAACTAGTGTGTCACCCTTAATGTAGTCTACCAGCATCAGCAGGGAAACCAGTCACATCTTCATCATTGAAGTATAACATCAGTGGGTGAACACGCTTGTCGTCTCTTTGGTGAATACCGCCCTCTTTGCTCAAAATGGGAGAATGTAAAAAAATATGAATCGCGAATGAATGAGATTATTAACCGATGAGCAGCACAAAAACCCTAATCTTCTTTTTTAGGAATAATATCCTCACTCTTCGGGAATATTTAATCAGGAACATTTATTGCCTAAATATGTTTGATAAACAAGGAACTTGACATGGCGGTTGGTGCATAATATCAGACAGTAAGACAATGAGCCAATGGACAACAAGACAGATGACATGGCATGTTCAATTTACAAATTTACAATTTAACTCTATGGTATAAAACAAAATAGAAGGCTATGGGCTAGGGGGATATAGAATAAAAATGTAAAATAAAGGATAAAAAGGAAATTAACTTAAAAAGAAAGTTTTTTAAAAAAAAAGTAAAAAATCAAGTGCTCTAGCAGACAGAAAACTGTACTCTAAACAACTGTGTTGTGAAAAGTGACAAGTGTACGTGAAAGTGGAGTGTGAAGGGAGTGACCGGTGGGATGTCAGAGTCAGCCAGTGTTGATGAG